CGCCGTAAAGGGCACGTATTTCGGAGGTCGGGCCGTTCCCGGACCGGACCCCCCCCCGCCGCCAACCTCCCAAATACGTACCTTTTTTGGGTCTTTTTGGGCCTGAAAACGCTGTATTTCCGAGGTCGGGCCATTCCCGGACCGGACCCCCCCCCCGCCCGCCGACCTCCCAAATGCGTACCTTTTTTGGGTCTTTTTGGGCCTGAAAACGCCGTAAAAGGCACGTATTTCGGAGGTCGGGCCGTTCCCGGACCGGACCGACCTCCCAAATGCGTACCTTTTTTGGGTCTTTTTGGGCCTGAAAACGCCGCAAAAGGCACGTATTTCGGAGGTCGGGCCGTTCCCGGACCGGACCGACCTCCCAAATACGTACCTTTTTTGGGTCTTTTTGGGCCTGAAAACGCCGTAAAAGGCACGTATTTCGGAGGTCGGGCCGTTCCCGGACCGGACCGACGGCCTGAAAACGCTGTAAAAGGCACGTATTTCGGAGGTCGGGCCGTTCCCGGACCGGACCGACCTCCCAAATACGTACCTTTTTTGGGTCTTTTTGGGCTTGAAAACGCCGTAAAAGGCCCGTATTTCGGAGGTCGGGCCGTTCCCGGACCGGACCGACCTCCCAAATACGTACCTCTTTTGGGTCTTTTTGGGCCTGAAAACGCCGTAAAAGGCACGTATTTCGGAGGTCGGGCCGTTCCCGGACCGGACCGACCTCCCAAATACGTACCTTTTTTGGGTCTTTTTGGGCCTGAAAACGCCGTAAAAGGCACGTATTTCGGAGGTCGGGCCGTTCCCGGACCGGACCGACCTCCCAAATACGTACCTTTTTTTGGGTCTTTTTGGGCCTGAAAACGCCGTAAAAGGCACGTATTTCGGAGGTCGGGCCGTTCCCGGACCGGACCGACCTCCCAAATACGTACCTTTTTTGGGTCTTTTTGGGCCTGAAAACGCCGTAAAAGGCACGTATTTCGGAGGTCGGGCCGTTCCCGGACCGGACCCCCCCAGGTTCAAGTGACCCCAAAAAGGGTCGGGGGTGGGGCGGCTCGAGAAAATGGGACGCAAAACAAAGAAGGGAACCTTCCCCTTCTTCATGAGGCCACTCACGAAATGCATACCCTTCAGGGCCTAGGAATGTTTGGTCCTGGGCTCAAATCCCTTCAGCCCAAGGAACCTTTTACGGTTCGGTTTCTATTTCGGTTCGGTTCGACGGTTCCGGTTTCACTATTCGGTTCGCAGGTTCCGGTTCTGACGGTTCCGGTTCCACGGTTCGCGGTTCGGTTCCTTCGCTTCCTGCTTAAACCCCAAACCCTGAACCCTGAACCCTAAACCCCAAACCCCAAACCCTAAACCCCAAACCCTGAACCCCAAACCCGAAACCCTAAACCCGAAACCCTAAACCCTAAACCCGAAACCCTAAACCCTAGACCCGAAACCCTAAACCCGAAACCCTAAACCCGAAACCCTAAACCCTAAACCCTAAACCCTAAACCCTAAACCCTAAACCCTAAATCTGTTCAAGGCAAGATGCTGGCAGTGGACTTGGCCGACCTGGCGGCTTTCATCCTCATGGTGCAGAACAGCTGCCTGCCGAAGTGGCGTAGGGTTTAGGGTTTAGGGTTTAGGGTTTAGGGTTTAGGGTTTAGGGTTTAGGGTTTAGGGTTTAGGGTTTAGGGTTTAGGGTTTAGGGTTTAGGGTTTAGGGTTTGGCTAGTACAGTTAGGGTGTCTTTCCCGGCCGACGATCCAAGCCCGGATGCAAAAACAAAAAGGTTTAGGGTTTAGGGTTTAGGGTCTAGGGTTTAGGTTTCACGGGTTTCAGGTGTTTCAGGGGTTTCAGGGGTTTCAGGAGTTTCGGGAGTTTCAGGGGTTTGAGGGTTTGAGGGGTTTGAGGTATTTAGGGTTTTGATCTACAGAGGCCTGGCTGCGAAACGGTTTTTGGGTTTAGGTTAGACAAGAGTCTGGGTTCAAAAAACGGTTTAGGGTTTAGGGGTCTTGCAGTTGCTCAATGTGTTCTGCCATATTCTTGGTATCCTATCCGAGGCTACATCTTCCAGACTTGCTTGTCAAGGGCAAGGCTCCGTCTGGCAGACTCTCGGTCGAAAGGGTCAAACACCCTGCGAAGTCTTTGTTGACACCTGGGTGCAGGCCTGCTTCACAGAGAGGTACTGACGGCGCCAGCTGTTTGTTTTTGGGAGCGCGACAAGTCGTTGTAGGCCCAGTGCAGGTTCTGAAAACAGCTACTGCGAACTTAGAATGATATTTACACCACTGGCAAGTTGGTCTGACCGCTGAGGGCGATCGCTTCTCGCTAGAGGTGGCGCAAGAGAACTGGCGTCGGGTAAGCTGGTTGCAAGCAGGCTACGAAAGTGACGGTGCTTGCACCTGACCAACTGCACTGACCAGACTTTTCCCAAGCTATGCGTCCCGCATCTTCGGGTTCTGAGCGCACCTGGTTCAAGGTACAGGAGCCCCACACCGATGTTATCATGCTGGCCAATTCCGTGCGAGAGCTGGTGGCCAAGCAGAGGCAGAGTGAGGACTCCGTCAGAGGGCAGCCGCCCTAACTCCTCAACCCTACAATGACATGCGCCCTGCGAAGTGGACTTTCGTTCAGCTAGGCGGGAGGCTAACCCTACCCAAAACCCTAAACCCTAAGCCCTAAACCCTAAACCCTAAACCCTACAATCATTCATCTTCCTTGGAACGGTGCAGGAGACGGGAGAGCCCCCCTCTGGGCATGAACTCCATCTACATGCCGTGAAGAGTTGCCAGTTCTGAGTGCCCGCATCGGATGCCTTAGGGTTTAGGGTTTAGGTTTAGGGATTTAGGGTGTAAGGTTTAGGGTTTAGGGTTTCAGGCTGAGGCCTAAGGCGTCTGAGGAAAGCATGACAAGCTTTCCCCCCCGGTACACGGCAAGACTTCCGTGCACCAACCACGGCAAACGTTGCATCAGCATGCCAAACTCATTGTCATCTCCGCATCTCGGCTCTTTTCTGCTGCTATCTGCTTCCCTCCACCTCTCTCTCTCTCTCTCGTTTTGCCGTGGATTTTTCTTGGAAGTTTTTGATGCATCACCCCTCAACACACGCGCACGATCTTTTCTCGCTTGGAAGGGCTCATTCATGCCTTGAGAGCACGATTTGATAGGGGTACCTTATTGGGTTTTGGGTTTTGGGTTTTGGGTTTAGGGTTTCGGGTTTAGGGGTTTAGGGTTTAGGGTTTAGGGTTCCTACTATGAGGGTGTCTATTTTGGGGGTCCCCGATTGTCGTAAGCCCCCCATCATTTGAATTATGCCTCGCTTTTGTTGTTCAAGGAGACCTTCCTGTCGCTTGGGAAAGCACTGCCCGCCTTTTCGGGAGCGACTGGGTTCCCTAGCACGGCGATCTACAAACCCTAAACCATAAATCATAAACCCTAAAGCCTAAACCCTGAACCCTGAACCCTGAACCCTAAACCCCTGATTCTGAGCGCTTGTGCATCGAAAAGGCCAGAGCTTGCTGCTCCTACTTTCCAGGCCTGGCGGCCTCGAAGTCATTGCACCATGGGCACCTCTAAGAGGAGAATGCTCGACTTCATCTTGCGACATCTGGCAGCTCCCACGCCCACGGTTTAGGGTTTAGGGTTTAGGGTGGGAGATACCGAGAACGGGGCGCACAAAAGCAGCGGGGTTTCCATCAAAAAGGGCTTTGGCGAAAGCAGCCTGTGTCCCATGCCAGGAAGGGCTCTGGAAGTGCTTGGCAACTGCACCACGTCTCACTGGGCTCCTCCATCTTTCGTCGAACATGAGAGGAATCTTTCGAAGCCAAATGCCAAAAACCTGGACAGGGGGATTAATCGAAAGGTCTTTCTTGGGAGAACTTTTACAGATTTTTGTTTTATGGGTTACTAGGGGCAGGGAAGGGGGGTATTTTGGGGAATGGGTCCTTTCATCAACCACATGGGTAGTTCAAGCCACAGACGAAGACGTGCAGCATGCATTGACCGCAGCCGCACGTCTGAGTTCAACTTTGGCCCCATACTGGGTTGTGTGTTGACACGTTGCCAAGGCTTCTAAACGACAGCCAACATGCCCACGGCCGTTTCCCGAATATCTGCAGGTCCTGTGACACGGATGATGATGAAGAAAGTTTGTGCAGCCAGAGCACTCGCAACAATAGCCCCCAACAGTACATCCTAATCTAAACCAGGGCTTACATTGCTGCTATTTTTGGTGAGTGTATATATTGGGTGTGCTCTTGGGGATACTACTACCCTGCCTCATATCCCATGCCATGCCGGGTTCCTTGCTCGAAATCCAGTCCTCAGTCGCGCGACGCCTGGATCTGAGCATGCGCTGGGTTTCTGAAATTCAGGGCATTGGCACCGTTTCATGTTGCACTGCACGCCAACCTGGGTCCTTCCCAAAGCAGAAATACCCCCCCCCCCCCCCACCTTCCCTCCCCCCCCGAATAGATATAACCCCAGCAGATAGCAGCCCCCATATCATGGGAACCCAAAGAGGGTCGCCCCCTTATCATAAGCGAACCGCCTCATCGCTTGGCGGCCAGGCCTTGCTGGCCTGGAAGCGGAGCTGCAGCGGGCCTTCGGCAACATCCAGCAAGAGGCACCTGGGGCAAAAAGTTTAGGGTTTAGGGTGTAGGGTTTAGGGTTTAGGGTTTAGGGCAAAAAGTTGCGACATGCGATGCTGCGCGCCATTTTCGCTAGGTGGCCAGGGTGCACCAGGACATCGGCTCTGATCTAGATCTCGTTCGGCAGTTCGATCGAAGAGATGGCGCTGTGGAGGCATCGCCCGGAGGGTTTAGGGTTTAGGGTTTAGGGTTTAGGGTGCTGGGTTTAGGGTTTCACGAGTTCTATGCTCAGGTTCATTCATACGTCTCCATGCCATACCAAGTTGTGCAGCCAGCTGTAACTGTACTTCGTCTCCAGGCGCCAACGGCAAGTCCTTTGCTGGCAGCCGAAGTTTCACCGTTGGCTTCCTTGTTGCTCCCGGATACCAGCATTACTATGACGCTGACTCCGCTAAACGACCTGCATGGACAGACCGCCGAAGAGAGCATGTCGACCCCCGGCGATGATATTTAGGGTTTAGGGTTTAAGGTTTAGGGGATGACACTCATGGGTAGTTGAGGGTTTATGCAGAAGGGTGGCCATCAGCTTCGCTGCAAACGACAACTGCAGTAATCGACGGCTCAACCAAAGGGCATTAACTCTTTTCATTTGGGGAGTTCTCTAAATTACGGGGGTCCTTCTTCAGGGTGTTGTACTATATTTTGGCCCTAAACCCGAAACACTACACCCTGAACCACTTGGGTCTTAGTCTTTCGCTGGTTTTTGGGCAGAAGACAATTGTATCTTTCAACATGCAGAGTATGGGCAATGTCGGACTATGTGAGAGAGTTGTCGGAGTCCTGCTGAGCGGTTCGTCCAGCCAAGCGGGTGCCATAAAAAGCCCAAAACCCAAACCCTAAACCCTTGTGAAAACCCTAAACCCTAAACCCTAAGCCCTAAACCCTAAACCCTAAACCCCTGAACCCTTAAGACAAAACCAAATGTAGAGAACTGCCCATTCAGAAAAAAAACATGCCGGCGGTCTCAGGATTGGGGCCTTGGTGCTGCGGCAATCTGCAACAGCATTGCAGGAGGGCTTCTCATCTCAGCCCCATTTTCGGCTCAACTCGCACTTAATGGAGATCTCTCAAAAGGCGCGCCGCAAACCTGCCGTGTCTCTCTCTCTCTCTCTCTTGTGTGTGTGTGTGTGTGTGTGTGTTTTTGCATGCCGGGCCTCTACCCGCGAAGAGCTTGTGACGTCTCTTGTGTCTGCTTGAGAAGTGTCCTGTCCTGACAGAACGCCCTTGGCGAGGCCGGTGAAGCAGTTGAGACATCCAGCCGCATCACGAAGAACAGGTCCTCGGCTGCCCGCACGTCATCTCTTGGATCGCAGAAAAGGTCCCCCACCAGGGCTTTGCAGAGTGAGTTCGACCAGTGCGACACCCTTGTTGTACCACCCAACTCCAAGTTCCGAGTCGGCTGGGACTTTGTAAGTGTGGCCCTGATCATCTTGGACGCGTTTCTCCTGCCCCTCACCATGGCCTTTGATCTGGACTTCTCGCCGTTTATGGATAATCCAACCGGCGGCGACGTCGTTTTGCAGATCTTGTCAGTGACGTCTCTAATCTTCTGGCCGCTGGAGACCTGACTGCACAGCAAAGGAGGGGGGGCGCCGCGTCACCACATGCCGTCACACTACTACTATTCGCCGAAGAACCCTACAAAAATAGCAATCCCCATATTACCCTTATACGGAAGAATGTTTTAGAATTTTTTGGGGGTTAATAAGCAGTTAGTAGACTATGTTGTCATGGCAAGTGCAAGGATATGGCCATGTCCTTCAACACGGGCTTTTACAGAAAGGGCTTTTCGGCTGCAAGAGCTGGTGGCCCCTGGCAGCCCTAAACCCTAAGCCCTAAACCCTAAACCCTAAACCCTAAACCCTAAACCCTAAACCCTAAACCCTAAACCCTAAACCCTAAACCCCAAACCCTAAACCCTAAACCCTAAGTGAGCACGAGACACAGCGGAGCAAGTGGCAGCAATATGCCCGGTTTCAATTCCCGAGGCACCCTGCAGCTGAAGAGGAAGGTGCCTTGACCGAAGTGCCCACAGGGTTTAGGGTTTAGGGTTTAGGGTTTAGGGTTTAGGGTTTAGGGTTTAGGGTTTAGGGTTTAGGGTTATGTTTTCGCGTCCGCCTCCACCAGACTCAGTGCCGCAAGCTGCTGGGAGGATGTAGGCTAAACCCTAACCCTAAACCCTAAACCCTCGGACATAGAGTTTTTGAAGGCTGGAAGAAGTGGGGCACAGTAATGAGCCCCGAATCTTGCCATCGCACTGCGTCATCCGAAGTCGCGGGAGCCTTCACCATAGTGTGCAAAGCTTGCATAGCGTCAGGACATCGCAGTCAATTATTTTCGCACTTGGTTCCCCTTCGATGTGGCTGTCCTGGTGGTGGACTATGCAGCAGGATTCCTGACCAACATCTCGGAGGACTGCCTAATGGCCTAATGAAACGAGTGCCAGTCCAGTACTTCAAAGCACCCGTCGATAACTATTACTTGTAGATGTGATTCAGTCGTTTTTCGGCCAGGAGCAAGAGGACTTCCTTCGCCCCCTTCGATCTGCACGTTACCTTCGCTTGATGCGATGCAGGGCCGCAATATGCTGGGGTCGGAGCCAGAAAGCGTGTGTGATATGGGAAGTGAGAGTGTGCACGTTGACGGATCTTCATGCTTTGCTTTGGGCAGTCGCTCAGGAACACTTCGCATTCTGCGAATCTTCAAAGCTGGCAAAGTCAACGTCATAATCGAGAACCTGGTGCCATAGTTGGGCATGGACGTAGGGAATCGACACCCGAAACCCGAAACCCGAAACCCTAAACCCTAAACCCTAAACCCTAAACCCTGGCTTTGCCCGCAGGTGATCTCCATGGGGCGCCAGTGGCTCATACTGCTCTTCACCATCGGCCGAATGCTGATGGTGATTGGAGGCGTGACGCATGTCCTGGCCTGCATCTTCTTCGTCGTGGGAAAGGTGGGGGAGGGTTTAGGGTTTAGGGTTTAGGGTTCAGGGTTCAGGGTTCAAGGTTCAGGGTTCAGGGTTTAGGGTTTAGCGGGGGGGTTGGATTTCAGCGCGAACGCGGCCTGCCTGGGCCTTTCCCAGGTTGCCCCAGTACCGTGCCTTAAAAACAGGGCTGCCCTATACAATCCCTTCAAGGGTCTAAATGCAGGGGGTTATCAGTACTGTACCTAACGCCCTCATTCCATACACCCTAAATCTTAAACCCCAAAACATCGTGTTTGTCTGTTGCTGTGGTGGTCGCCAGGTGTTCGGGGTAGGGATTGGGGTTTCTGTGGGTTTGTCTTCCCTGCATCTGTAGAGTAGCTTGACCAACTATGACCCAAGAACCTTGCCAGCCTTGTGCGAGAGTGAGCGACTGAAGCCCTAAAATCTAGAGGGAGCCCTGATCCGTCACGAACGAAGCGCCACAGCGTGGCGCCGTCACGTGTGCGGACTGCCCATGGTGTTTTTGTTTTAAGATGATGTTGCTGCTGCTGCTGATGATGATGATGATTATTATGATTATTGTTTTTGCAAACTCTTGGGAAGTAGCTGCATGGGCAAGGGCTTAAGCTTTGGGGCATCGCGCTGAGAGGCCGTTTCTGAATCAGAGAATCTGGAGATGGGCAGCTGGTGCTTCCGACGCAAAGGGTTTAGGGTTTAGGGTTTAGGGTTCTGGGTTTAGGGTTTAGGGTTTAGGGTTTAGGTTTTAGGGTTTAGGGTTTAGGGCAAAGTTTAGGGTTCAGGGCTTAGGGTTTTGGGCGCTTGCAAGCCTTCGGGAAAAGCGCACGCTCTTGGGATGCTCCCCCTTTCACTAGCTCGTGGAGAGGGGTTCGAGTAGGGGGTACTATAAATCCCCGTTGAGGGCTGTGAGTATGAGACATGCCAACTCATGCCCCATGGTCCAGACTTGTTGCAAGTGCAATTTAGGGTTTGGGGTTTAGGGTTTAGGGTTTAGGGTTTGGCGCGGCGCTGCGCTCAGGATTGAGATAGCGGGTATCGCCACCGCTCAGCCAAGCATCCAGTATGTTCACGCTATCGGCTGGATCCTGCTGCCACCGGCCCCACCGCAACTGGACCCGGCCGCTTAACCTTTACCACGTTTGCATTTTGGGTTTAGGGTTTAGGGTTTGTTGCCCTTGCAGTGGTGTCAGCCGTACATTGGGAGGCAAGCGGGTTGGAGCACGTCGTCGCAATATTGGTGTTTGTTCTGACAGCTCCCTGTATGCAGCAAGGTGCTCTTTCGTTGGCCAACATATGGCAAGTGCCATGCACTGCGGTCGAAGAGCTGAGGTGTTAGTCATCGGATCGGCATTGTCGATACTAACTGGCACGCTTCATGAGATTCGCCAAGTCAACAACGAGCGCAGCCGCAACTTGACTCACAAATCTGGAGCCTTGTGGCAAGCTCGGTCAGCAGGCGATGTGTGTTGAATGTGTTGAGCACATGCGTTTTGCCGCCACTGGCTTTGCACCTTAGTGCAGAATGTCCAAGGCAAGCGCCGTGAGCTGCGGATCTTTCTTCAAACTAAAGCAGTGTCAACAGAGCCGCCTGCACTGACTAGCATGGCTGTGGCCGAAGTGTCGGGCAAGTGTGCTGCTGCCAGTGTCGCATTTAGGGTTTTAACGTTTAGGGTTTAGGGTTTAGGGTTTAGGGTTTAGGTTGATGATGCGCATCATGAGCTATGCCGACTACAAGATGACGCGCCATTCCCCGATCCTCGAGTGCATGTTGACACCAGTTCTGGAAGTGTTGTGTGCGTCTTCAGCTGTGCAAAGTGATACGCTGTAACTTTGCTGCGAAGGATTGGATATGACACCTCCTTGATTTCACCGATCCTTCACGCAGAATTGGCTACATTTCAGCTGGGAGGCTGCATGAGTACAGAAGAGGAGTGCCTACAGGTTGTTGTTGCTCCACCTAGGTCTGTCCGTCTGTTTGTCTTCCAGTCTGTCCGTCTGTGTCTGTGTGCATACAACGTGTATTTGCGCAGCAAATCGCTTCAGATCACCTCCGGGGACATCCTTTGTACCTCTTGACGGCGAAGATCTTTCCGTGTCTTGACCTTGACAGAGCCAACCGAGGATGCCCTAAATCCTAAACCCTAAGCCCTAAACCCTAAATATGGTTCTGAGCGGCATCTTTGACCCCACTTGTTACTACACTTACCGGGAGTGAGAGAAAAAGGTGCCCTACGTCCCCCTTAAACCTTAAACCCTAAACCCTAAACCCTTGAAAAAAAGTATGTAGTATACCTGGTTCCTTCATCTCAACTAAGAACCCAGTGACAGGTATGTGTTCGCTGAGTTTTGCAGAGCCCTGGACAAGATGTACTTCAGCGAGGCCAAGCCACTCTTCTGGGTGGTGATCATCTGTGGTTTAGGGTTTAGGGCTCTCGCTGACACAAAATGACAGGCCTTGTTGACGGTTGAGATAACGTGCACTTCCCAAGAACAGCCCGACTGCCCTCTCCTTGATCGATTCACTGGGTCCGGGGGGTTGGAGGAGCGAAAGTGTCGTTTTGGGTTCCCTCTCGGCGTCGGGCAGCAGATGCCAGCAAACGAAGGCAGCTATGGGGACACTTGCGTGCATGCACTGTCCAACCTATCCCACCAGGGAGGCTTTTTCAGCGCGAGCTGCACTGGTTTGGGCCGCTGCAGGCTGCAGTCTAGAGGCGCATGTGCGCGCCGGGGGGCGGCGCCTCACGGATTCTTCAATTCTTCAGTCCCGGAGCCTCTTGACTCTTGATTGTGACCCTTCTTGACCGGGTGGTCTTTCCAGTGGCTCCCACTATCGCCGAGTGTCTTCGAGTCCTGGCCGGCTCCAGGCTGGATGGTGCGTGGCCTCGTTTTGATGGTCTGGTTCTGCGATCACGAAAACACTCTCCTCTCCCCGACTGCAAGCCTGGATGCCCACACCGGGAAACGAACACAGATCACACTCAAGTTCACTAAGTGTCCACCAGTGAAGCAGCAGAAGGCAAAGGCTTTGCTGCTTTGCGCGTCTTAAAATCGGTCACGTGCCTGACATGGTGTCGCCGGGAAAGTGCCGTTAAGGAAAGGCCCATTTTGTGGCAGCCGTAGTGTAGTCCAGAGTTCACGACCGTCAGACTGCGCCGAGAGCATCGTTTGCAGGCAGAGTCCGTCTTCATTGAGGCGTCCCTCGCCGCGCATATGTACATCACCAGCCACGGAGCCTTCTCAGTAGGCGCGGCAAAGTTGCTTCGTGAGGAGCTTACTTGGAGGTTCTTGGGTACGAAGAAGTGGTAGCCTAATAAGGGCTATAATCAACCCTAAGCCCTAAACACTGTGTTTGTTGCAGGGCTTCACACACTGACCTGCTTAACAAGTAGGTGTGTTTCAAGTGTCGGCGTTGCCCTCAGTGTGGCGAGTCTGCTTGGCAGGCGGCAAAAACCACCCTACTTGTGTGTACTCGAGCCCTGTGCTCGCGCGAGGCACAGAGCTTGAAATGGCCAACAACGTGGTTCACTTCGTCGATGAGCACCGGTATTTTGCCGAGGCAAAGGAGTCTTCAACATCATCTTTCAGTCTAAACCCTAAACCCCAAGCCCTAAACCCAAAACCCAGGACTTTCTCTAAGAGTGCAAGAGGGGGATGTCGGAGCGAGCAACTTCCAGAGTTCAGTCATCTTGAGGTGGCCATGTATGTCGAAGCGGTGATGCACGACTGCACACTGGTCGCCGAGTCTTTCGCAGAGGCCGTGCTCTCCATCCACTCATTGCGGGATCTTGAACACATGGCTCGAGGGTCGGAGTGAACTGGAAAGGCTTCGTGATGTCTAGATTCTAGACGCGTGCCACCGCATGCAAACAGCCTTAACACAAACACCACCCTCGTCCCTTCGTGGAGCACCAAGTGATCTGGGCACCGCCAAGATAACTTAGGTGGAGCATGCTCCCGTCACAGCCGGCTTCGTACTGCCGTGGTAGATGGGCGTACCTGAATTTTGAAGCCGAAACCCTACACCCTGGGGCTGGGGCGGTGGGGCACTGCTCTTTACCGTTCCTATCCCATCTATGTCCCAATCTGAATGCCTCAGAGGGCGTGAGTCCTGGGCAGTTTTTCCTTTCCCTTGCTCCTAATTAAGTCCGACCATTGAACCCCACTGTGCTGTGGCTAGTCGGGTGGCAATAGCACCCCCTAAACCCTAAGCCCTAAGCCCTAAACCCTCAATCCTCAACCCTAAACCCTAAACCCTAAACCTCAACCCTAAACCCTAAACCCTAAACCCTAAACCCTAAACCCTAAACCTCAACCCCAAGCCCTAAACCCTAAACCCTGGGCTTTGCGCTCGGCAAGCCCGAGCCCTTGCGGTCTGACGAGCTCCGCGACTCCTCGCGTGGGTTTAGGGTTTAGGGTTTAGGGTTTAGGATTTAGGGTTTAGGGTTTAGGGTTTAGGTTTAGGATTTAGGGTTTATGATTTAGGGCTTAGGGTTTAGGATTTAGGGTTTAGGATTTAGGGTTTAGGGTTTAAGGTTTAGGGTTTCCCCCCCTGTGGAGGTCTTCCTTCTGTCAGGGCACAAGCTGGCCGACATCTTGCTGCTGGGCATGAGATTTATTGGACTATGACTTCGTGATAGACTGCGATTCTTCTTCTTATTACTATAATCATTACTGTAGTACTGTTGTGATTATTATTGTTAATAATGTATTTCTTGTTAATATATGGTTGAGTTACGTCAGCATTCGCCTTTGCAAGGTGGGGGGGGGGTGTGTTGACAAGCTGCTGGTTGTCCTTCAAGGTCTCATTCTCCCCCCTGCGCCACCATGTTTGTGGAGTACGCCACGGAGCCACTTGCCGGTCCTACTCTGTCAAGCAAGTGTTGCTCCCAGGTGCAAGTGGGCCGGGGTTCAGTTTCGGGATGGGGTGTCTCTCACAAGGTTCATCACCCGCTATACTGTGCCCGATGGCGATGTATGCGCCCACGACATTTTGGAAGCAGCCGATGACTGTGCCAAGCATGCATGTGAATGCAACTCCTTTTACTTGGACCTCTACATGGATGATCGCTGCTTGGCTGAAGCAGCATGCCGCGGTTCCCCATCGATGTCTTGTGCGCCCGAGTTTGCGACAACGCGCCGAATGCTACTTGCCGGCTGCTTTTCCGACCTTTCCCACGCAGCGTCACGCAATTTTGTTTGCCCAAAGAGGGTCTTTAGAAAAACCCAAAGAGGGTTTTGCAAAGAGGGCTTTTATAAAAAACCTTCTTTGCCACTGAGGAAAGGCCATCCGCTACTTGAGTCTTACTCCGTTACTATATCCACCTTGGGAATTAGTTTTTCAATTTTTTGTTTAAGTAAGCCCCAAGAGGATATTAAAAATGTCATTTTTATTGAGGTTCTACGGGGAGTATAGGATTTCCCTGAACCCTAAACTCTAAACCCTAAACCCTAAACCCTTTAAGGTTCTAAGGGGAGTATAGGTTAACCAGCAAGCCGGGACGCACGGCGAGCCCCAGCAATTTCACTTCCATGGTGCTGACTTCGTCGATGCTCGGAATCGACCAGTCCTTACAATCTCAACTTGGAGACACCCAAAACCCTTAGCCCCTAAGCCCTGAGCCCTAAACCCTAAACCCCCTAAACCCTAAGCCCTGACCCCCCTAAGCCCTAAGCCCTAGGCCCTAGGCCCTAAACCCTGAACCCTCAAGCGGATCTTGATGAGGACCATGCCCACATTGGCTGATCTGCGCGATGCCTTTGTGGAACTGGATGTCGAGAGTGGCTTGCACGCCAGGCGCACGAGCCCGGAACCTTATAAACCCTTGAACCCAGAACTCCGCAGTGCGTGGCTTGGCGGGTGGCTGAACTCTGAATGGCCTTAAGCCCTAAACCCTAAACCCTAAACCCTAAACCCTAAACCCTAAACCCTAAACCCTAAACCCTAAACCCTAAACCCTAAACCCTAGGGTTAACCCTAAACCCTAAACCCTAAACCAGGCTAAACCCTAAACCCCCTGCACAACAACAAACGCAACTCTGCCAGGTTCTCGGAGCCGAAGGAGCAGGAGCGGGCCGAGTCCGCCATTCTGTGTCTGGTGGCTTTGGTGCGCGACGACTATATCGTAAGCTGGCTGGGTTTAGGGTTCAGGGTTCAGGGTTCAGGGTTCAGGGTTTAGGGTTTAGGGTTTAGGGTTTAGGGTTTAGGGTTTAGGGTTTAGGGTTTAGCCTTTAGGGTTTAGGGTTTAGCCTTTAGGGTTTAGGGCTTAGGGTTTAGGGCTTAGGGCTGGCCTCCATGCCATGCCAGGCACCAGCTTGGGATGTGTCCCCCTTCAACAGCTCCTTAATAGGGATTATTGTAGCGAATCCCTATGAAGGACTGTTAGTATAGGTGTGAACATTGGTTGCAGAGAGAGAGAGAGAGAAAACAAAGAGAAGAAGAAGAAGAAGAAGAAGAAGAAGAAGAAGAAGAAGAAGAAGAAGAAGAAGAAGAAGAAGAAGAAGAAGAAAAATAAGAAGAAGAAAACAAAGAGGGGCCACTGGCCTCACAAACTACTCGCCCAAGGGAGAGCGATGAGGCTCTGCAGCCTTCTATGAGCAGCAGGCCTGCAGGTTCCCCTAGGGAGGAGACTGTGGTCAACCTGACGGACGAGGGCGACGCGCACGACGAAGAGAACAGCCACGAGTACTACAACCACGAGGACCAGGAGGACCACACGACTGACGATGTGACCACCGAGCCTGAAGAAAGTCGAGCGCCCTTGGTTCCGGTGGGCCCCCTGGGAAAGCACAGCATTTGGACGGCACCCAAGCCTCTACAACCGGGGGACCCTTTCAACTTTGCGTGGTTCGTCAAGGAGGCCAACGAGTGGAGAAGGCTGGATGCTTTGCGCTCTGCTTCGAGTGGCTCCGCCTCCATGCAGGAGGGGGCGCTGCGCATGCAGCAGGATCTCAGTGTGAGGGGGGGGCACCGCCTCCGACCTTTGCAGCACATGGAGAAGAGCAGCTCGAAGAACGAGACGAAGCAGAGGAGGAAAACGCCAACAAGGGGGACTTTGCGAAGTAGCACAAGTGGAACCTGGATAGGGGGGCAGTGGAAGTGAGCGTGCCACCTGTTTTTCCTGGAAGAGTGAGGCCTTCAATGTATGGCAGCCCACCTTTCACCACAAGACAGAGCGGCGGGCCAGCGTGGCCGGGGCTTCCCTTCGAGAGAGAGAGAGAGAGAGAGAGAGAGAGAGAGCGAGGGGGTGCTGGTGTCCCCCCTGATACTAGCAGTCCTCAATAGGATTTATGATAGGGGGTACTAGAATTCCTATTACGGACTGTTCGCGTACGGGTGAACATTGATTTTTTTTTACACCGACTGGTGTGTCTTTTTTTGGTGTGACGGTGGTGCGTTGAAGGATCACTCGCGCGGTTTTCGTGCGGCGCGGCCCGTTTTTGGGGTTCGGCGGCGTCGCTGTCAAACCCTACACCCTAAACCCTAAACCGTAAACCCTAAACCCTAAACCCTAAACCCTAAACCCTAAACCCTTGCGAAACGGGTGGGAAAAAACCCTAAGCAACAAAAGAGTCGGCCTGATAGCCTCTCTGGTGGGAAGGGTCCGGTGAATCACGATACAGCCAGTGACCTCTCCCCTGCCGGTGCGGCGGGCTTGCCCTGACGGATGTTGTTAAAATTTTGGTTTTAGGGTTTAGGGTTTAGGGTTTGGGGTTCAGGGTTTAGGGTTTAGGGTTTGGGGTTCAGGGTTTAGGGTTTATCCGCCGCAGAAGAGGAGGAAGAACAAGACGAGTGAACAAAGACCTTCACAGCGGCCATAGCCGATGCTTCGCACGCTGAGTTGCGTTACCTCGGAACACGAGGGCCACAGAAGAATTGGCCCCAGGGCGAGACTTTTCCTGTGCCTCCACACCCCTACGATGGTTCCCCAGCATCCCCCACAGATAGTAGAGTCCCGCAGGTGCGTTTTTTCGGGGCTTCCTATCACGAGGCAGGATGGTGCGATTTGTGTAAAGCTTCATGTGGAGGTTTCTCCTCAAGGGTACCTGGAGGGTTTCGGCCCTAAGTTGTAGCATGTAAACCTTAAGGCTTGCGCTAAGGCGTACACTATGCCGCAGCGAGAGAATGCTCGCCTCACCGAGTCTCAGTGGCAGCAGCTGCGGAGCATCTTGGTCTGGGCTGACCCCACCAAGGAGATTCTCCATTGCATTGATCTTTAGGGTTTAGGGTTTAGGGTTTAGGGCTAGGGTTTAGGGTTTAGGGTTTAGGGCTTAGGGTGAACTAGGACCTATCGCATGTTGTGCCGCACAGCAATGATCTGGTCGAGAAATGCCAAGTGCACCCAAAGGCCGTGGCAGGATCATAAGGCCACTTCAGCAATGTGCCCACACCGTGAGTTTAGGGTTTAGGGTTTAGGGTTTAGGGTTTAGGGTTTAGGGTTTAGGGTTAGGGTTTAGGGTTTAGGGTTTAGGGTTTAGGGTTTAGGGTTTAGGGTTTAGGGTTTAGGGTTTAGGGTTTAGGGTTTAGGGTTTAGGGTTCATTTGCAAAAAGGGCTTTCGTTGCCGAGGAAGCTTCTGGCTGCTATTCTTCTGCTGGCCATTCGGGGCATTGGCAAGTTTAGGCGGGCGCACAGACAAGGGTTTAGGGTTTAGGGTTTAGGGTTTAGGGTTTAGGGTTTAGGGTTTAGGGTTTAGGGTTTAGGGTTTAGGGTTTAGGGTTTAGGGTTTAGGTCTCTGAATCAGGGCCCCTTGTTGGGGGGTCCGTTTTCAAAGGGTACCATGCTACATAGGGGGCCCACAAAGGGATCCACAAAAACCCTTAGGCCCTAAACCCTAAACCCCAAACCCTAAACCCCAATAATATAATGGCGATTTTCTCTGCACTGGTGCGACTCTTGAGTCTGCCTCTTGCGGGTGGCTTGGGGTTTGGGGTTTAGGGTTTAGGGTGTAGGGTTTAGGGTCTAGGTGGCAGCAAAGAAAAACCACCCAAACGTCGAATTCGTTTGGTGTGGTGCCATATAGTCAGTTCTCCAAATTATGAAATTATGGACCCTTTTGGGGTTACCATCATCAGGGCGGCCCCTTAATAATTTAGGGTACCCAAACAGGGGTCTCAGGGAAGCTTAGGGAGTAGTAGGGAGTATTGGGGAAGCTTGTGTTACATAACCCCATTGAACCCCCCTCCCTTAAGAACCCTATCCCTAAACCCTAAACCCTAAACCCTAAACCCTAAACCCTAAACCCTAAACCCTGCTGCCCAGAGGTCCTTGACACGCCAGCTGCCGACGCTTCGGCGCAGGCCGGAGGCGGCGGTCCGCTACATCCTTGAACCTCGGAAGAACTGAAGCCTCGATGGAGGCATCTTAGGGTTTAGGGTTTAGGGTTTAGGGTTTAGGGTTTAGGGTTTAGCTGAGCCTGGAGTCAAAAAGGGCTCAGGGTTTAGGGTTTGGGCATCATGTGACCTCAGGTTTGCGCCTTTGGGGCAGTGATCCGCCCGCAGTTCCTAAGGACAAGCACAAGGATGCCATACCCTCTGCGGAGAGCATGGATGAGCACATGTGGAAGTTGGTGAAGCTCGGTTTGTGCTTTATGGAACCCTAAACTCTAAACCCTAAACCCGAATCCCAAACCCTAAGCCCTAAACCCCAAACCCTACACCTTCAATCGTTTCTATGACGTCGGCATGTGGTCCAAGGACAAACTCTCTGGAAGTTCAGCAGGAGTTCAACTTCGCTCAGATGTTGCAGGGCGAGAATGCACCTGGGCCTTGTTTACAGCTTCACCCTCTAGGGTTTAGGGTTTAGGGTTTAGGGTTTAGGGTGATTTTTGTTTCTTAGGCTGTTGCCGGATCCTCCACAGCAGCCCAGGCCGCAGGCAACCTTGCCCAGTTAAAAGGCTTCATTCAGGACAGGGGCGGCCCCTCAGCAGCAACTTCTGATCACCATGTGCCTTCGAGCCAGAGGTTGGGGTTTAGGGTTTCGGGTTTCGGGTTTAGGGTTTAGGGTTTAGGGTTTAGGGCTTGGCAGATGAACGCCACGAAGCTTTTCAGTTCACAACGAACAGCCGGACCATGTCCCAGAAGGTAGGCATCATAGTCATGTAGAGTCATGAGGTTTTGGTGTGCCACGCAGCAGAGCACGCAAGGTGAAGACGCCTTGAAGTTTTTTGCAGCTTGGCTCAGCAAGCCAGGGGAAAATGGTATTTCTTTCTCAAGAGGTCTTCGCAGCTGCTGCTGGTTTAGGGTTAGGGTTTAGAGGCTGCGTGCGCGAAGGGATGTGCTGATGTACTTGTCGCCCGTCAGAAATCGTATTTGACATCCCAAAGTGCTCAACAACCCGGTGGATGGCGGGCCCGGTGGGTGCGGCGTTGTATTGGGAAGAGACGAAGCAAGGACAAAAGATTGCCCCACCTGACGGCCATGACTACCATGACTAGTATGACTACCCTAAACCCTAAACCCTAAACCCTAAGGCACAAGGCAGTGTCCAAGTTGCAGCCTGGCTGAGGTCATCATCTTGCTCGGCTTCATGTCAGGTCTGGCCGGTGGCATTGGATCTCGCTTCATGACCTGCAGCCGCTCGGGTGGCAGCTGAAAGGATTTGGAACTCTTGGGTTTAGGGTTTAGGGTTTAGGATTTAGGGTTTAGGGTTTAGGGTTTAGGGTTTAGGGATTCGGGTTTATAGGATTTAGGGTTTGGGGTTGCTAATTCTGGCTATTTCGTGCGGTTTTGTTGCCCTTACCCATCTCATTGTATCATTGTTATATTATGAATATAGAAGTATATTATTGTATTATGACATGATGTTTTTAGTAGATTCGTACATTCTTATATGAAATTATGTTGTTCTTGTTTTGTAGTTGTTATCATAGTAGTCTATTTTTTATTTACGTAAGAAGGCTTGCCTTGTTTCTGTGCCAGGAGCAGAGCAGCCAGGTTTAGGGTGTTTTGTGTACCACCAGTTTTCTGACTGCTCAGCAACCACATCACCGCGCATCGCCCCCTCCCCCCCCCCCCCAGAGACTTCGCAACATGCGTTGCCCCTCCGTGTGTTTGGCGGTTTAGGGTTGAGGGTTTAGGGTTTAGGGTCGCAACTGTGCAACCATTCGCATGAGCAGGAATGTCTGCATGCGGCGTCCAACTAAACCCAGCATGTGGGATGTTCCCCCTTTAACTAGCAGTCCTGAATAGGATTATACTAGGGGGTTGCTATAATCCTTATTGAGGACTGTTAGTATAATCCTTATTAAGGATTATACTAGGGGGTTACTATCATCCGTATTGAGTTACTGTTAGTACAAGGGGGCATACCAACCCAGCATCGCAAAACGTGCGGTCAAGTCTCGAGTCCGGGGTGTGGCCGGTTTCTGGCTAGACCCTAAACCCTAAACCCTAAACCCTAAACCCTAAACCCAAAAGCCTTCTGCTCTGTCCGTACCTGGCCCTCTCCCCCTGACCCTACGCGCACCTGCGTCGATCAGCAGACCACATCCCTGACTTCCGTCATCTCCCACCATATGGGCATTTCCCAAAATGGGGGTACCCCCTTTTATACCAAAAAGAATAGAATGCCCTTAAAGGGACCCCCAAACAGGGCACCCCTGCGCCGCCCAAACCCCTGTGGGTGCTTGTGCCTGTTTGGCTTCATCATGCGTGCCTGACAGCTCCCGGCCGTCTGTACAGCACATCGCATGTTCGATCTCGACTCGCATGTGCCGACGATGGCTCGCTGCACCGGCTAGTGCTAGAAGTGATGCTGGAACTGCGGTATTTGCCTGCCGGACTCTCTTGCACCGGTCGTTCAGAGGCAACGCCGAGACCACGATTATGGGCCTGGGCACGCTCAAGCATGTCTTGGAGGAGGACCGCAACTTGGGTGCTTAAGGTGTGGAGAGGCCGTCCCTGATCACAAGACGATGTGGTAAAGCCCGTTCCTCCCCCGCCAAAGAGAGCACAGGATCCAGCACGGCTGTACTGGACTTACATCTACCATCGAGGCCTGGCTTGCTGTAGCTTGCTCTGCGACGGGTTTAGGGTTTAGGGTTTAGGGTACTGTCTGTTGATGTCGAGGTTTGGGCTTGTCGCAAGCGCCGCAGACTTGCGAAGACCTGGCGGTTGTTCGCTTGGCCTGTGCCTGCGACAGCAAGATGGGCGCGTACGAAAATTAGGGACATGTAAAATCGACCCCCAAATAGTAGGATCCCCTTATAAACAGGACCCCGATGAGGTACCCCCGAGAAAGGGAATAAGGGGCTAAAACCCTTTACCGTTAAACCCTAAACCCTAAACCACATGTATCCTCGATTCAGCCGTTCACGGAGAGTTGCTGAAGCTCGAGCAAAGGCCTCTGCCGGATCCAAACGCAAAAGGACACGCGACCGCCTGCTGTCACTGTAATGTCCGGGTTTGCAGGGTTCAGGGTTTAGGGCTTAGGGTTTAGGGTTTAGGGCGCGGAAGTCCTGGGTGAAAAAATGGGTGTGTCAGTCAGATGCGGGATGACAGTGTGGCACGGCAGATTCTGGCATGGTGCGCGGCCCACAAGTTTTAAGTGATTGCCGAGCGAATGCAGGATTTCTGGAGCTTGCAAAAGTCCTGGGCCACCTTGGGACTTCTTGCGCAGCAAGAGCTCTGCAAACATCTGCTGGCGGACGGTATCTCCAATGACGCAGTCATCTTTGAGCACTTCGGCCGGGAAGATGCAGCCAAGCCCTGAAATTCGAGAAGCCTTCATAAGCCAAAAAAGCCCTGGTTCTTAGGAATTGGGGACTGAGGGGCCTACATATACCCTTTAAGGGATGAGTTTTTTTAGGCCCTTCATTCCCTCGTTCCCTGCTAAGAACCAGCCCTTAAGCCTAAACCTCCCAAAGCCATGGTGACGGCCAGACCGAGGTTTCTGCCTCTGTGCTTAGAGCGTGCCAACACGAATCCCTTCGTGACGGTGCCATGCTTTCTGGAGGCCAGGTTACAGGGCTGTTTGCGGGCTTGTGAGCCTCGTCTTGTCCTAAACCCGAAACCCGCAGGTATGGGAAGACACGGAAGGAAGAGACTGTACCGGGGTTAGGGATGTAAACACCAGCGTTGGCGGAGTGAGACCCCCAGCCATCTCAGCCCATAAAAAAGGTAGGTGACCCTGTGGCACCCATGGCAGTGTGTGTATATATATATAGATATGTAAGAATATGATATATATATATAATATATAATATGTGTAATAATATGTTATGTATTTCTATAATATATACAGAGTATCTATTGTAAGCATGTACAAGACATGTAAGGTAATTCAAAACACACATCAGCAAGATCTATTGAAATTCTTGTTTGCTTGGCCAGGTCTTGGTCGAGTTGACCCAGGCAGTGCGATCTGCAAGCTCGTCTCTGTACATCTCCCCCGGCCGGGAGCCCGGAGATCCCGCCCACTTGAAGATAGTAAGGGTTTAGGGTTTAGGGTTTAGGGTTTAGGGTTTAGGGTTTAGGGTTAGGTTTCAGAGAGCCCGGGTTCAACAAAGGGGTTGAGCGTTGAGGGTCTAGAGTTTAGGGTTTAGGGTTTAGAGTGTAGGGTGTAGGGGTACAATCAATGTTTTTGTGACACATGTATATGCTGCATACGAATGAAATGCATGGAAGCATAGAGAACGAGCTATAGTATGTACAATAAGTGTGAGCTTTTGTGTCTTAAAACCCTATCAGAACCAATAACATGAACGACTAGAATTAGGCTTCATCTTTATGAACCAACCCATACACAGACACAGACGCACACACGGACAACACAACACCACAGACAGACAGAGACAGACAGACAGACACACACGCACACAAACAAACACAAACACAGACACAAACACACAAACACGAACACAAAACATCAACACAAGCACGAGCACAAAACACAAACAACAAACACACTCAAAACACAGCACGCAAAACACGCAACACACTTGCACGGGCACAGCCAGCCATTCATATTGCAGTCAACTTTTCAATGCCTTCTAACCATGGCGAGCCCTAAACCCTAAAGCCTAAATCCCGTACTTCCCACCGCTGGAATACCGGCTAGTCAGGCCGTTTGTCGTTGTCTTTCTTCCAGTGCCTCCTATATATATCTGCCTGTAAACTTACTGCTGGTTAGCAGGGAATGAGAGAATTAGGGCCCTATTACCCTTTAAGGGATACATATATATATATATATATATATCCTTTAAGGGAAATAGGGCCCTATATCACATATACCCTTTAAGGAACATTGTGGGGGACCTCATTCCCCCATCCCCTACTAGCCAACAGTAAGGTAAGGCATGCTGGGGGCAGCATGTCCTGAAATACCGGCCCACAAGGGCCTACCCCGACCCAAGCCACTGTGAGCCCAGGGAGCCCCCGAATCCAAGTTCCATGGCTGCTTTTCGCCGGAACCCTAAACCCTGAACCCCCTAAACCCTAATCCCTAAACCCTAAACCCTAAACCCTAAACCCTAACCCTAAACTCTAAACCCTAAACCCTAAACTGTAACCCTAAACCTGAAACCCTAAACTCCCCTAAGCCCTAAGCCCATCGAGTTCCAAGCCTCCAACCATCTCAATGACTGACTGGTCCCCTGCCCCATTGTTTGCAGCTGCTCAGATGATGATGCAGCCCATCTTTTCCCTCTAAGCCTTAAACCCTATACTCTAAACCCTAAACCCTAAACCGTAAACCCTAAACTCTTCCAGTTGAACTTTGCTGTTTGAGCTGTGCTTTTTCTTGTATGATTGTTCAAAACATTTTTCGATATGATGAAACTTTTCAAGATCACCAGGTATAAACACTGAATACACATAACATAAAATGAGTACTACATACATCCATCCCCTTCAGGTAAATAATCTTTTCCCATCCAATTAAACCATCATGCTTTATATTTACCAAATTTACCTTTTCTGCCAATTCCCGCGTGGTGGACTATGGGGGTTTACGAAGATAAGGGACTCCTAAAATAGACCCCCCAAATAGTAGGATTTCCCTTAGAATAAGGACCACAACAAGGTACCCACCAATATCGCAAACCTCCCTATGAGGGTTTAGGGTTTTAGGGTTTCGGGTTTAGGGTTTGTGGTCTTGCTCAAGGCAAGATACTGACCGTGGATCTGGCAGACATGGCTGCCTTCATTCTCATGGTTCGGAACAGCTGCCCGGCTAGGGTTTTTTAGGTTTTTAAATCTTTTAGGTGTTTTTTTTTTTATATGGTGTTTAGGGTTTTTAAGGCTTTTAGATTTTTTTAAAATGGTTTTTAGGGTTTTTGGGGTTTTTGAGGCTTTTAGTTTTTTTTGTTTTGTTGTTTAGGGTTTTGGGGTGTTTAGGGTTTTAAAGGCGTTTACAATTTTTAAGGCTTTTAGGGTTTTTATGGTTTTTAGGGTTATATAGGGTTTAGGGCTGCTTAGATTGAAGCGGGGAACGGGGGGACGGGGGGGGGGGGGGTGGGGGCGGCCGGCGCAAGATGCTGGAACGGCTGGGGGAATTGCGTGATGTAGGCCGCAAGGCAGGCTTAGGGAAGTTTCTTTAAAACCCCCTTGTTCGAGAGATCGAGCAGTTTCCTTGTACTCTGTCCGGCTCACTCCGCCATAGTGCCCCCATATGGGGTCATGCGCGGCTAAGCTTGGGGCAAGGAAAGCAAATGAAAGTGGTTCATGGGGTCACATGTCTCGCTTCTTCAGAGGTGCCTGCATGCTTTCCACAAGATGTAAACACTAAACGCTAAACCCTAAACCCTAAACCCTAAACCCTAAACCCTAAACCCTAAGCCCTAAGCCCTAAGCCCTAAACCCTAAACCCGTAGTGTTGTGATGCTGTTGGTCGCATTTTGGGTTCTGGGGCTGGGGGCCACAGACATTTCAATGCACGGCGTTTTTCTTCTGAGTAGAGTTCGATGTACTTGCACTGCCTTTCCGGCAGTCGATAAAAAGCTCATGTGGCATACTTGTATAATAGATGTACTTCACCCTTAGGAAAAAACTAGCTCAGATAAGGCTACATTTTCCAGACGTGCCTCACGCGTGCCAAGCTGAACACACAAGAGCCTTGACTGCAATGTATCTTGAGTCACACATGAGTGTATTCAACATTGTTGGGCCGACTGTCCCTGATGCTTCGCTGGTTCGCTGTCCCGTAGCCCCCGCCTCAAGCATGTCCATGGCGATGCCCAGGACAATCGCATCTTCTTGGAGATTACGCAAGACAACTGGCGTCGTGCGCCTTCTGTGGCATTTATCAACTCCTCATGGGGTTGCACCTTGTTGATCAAGCTGTTCCAAAACCGAGAAGCTGTGCAGGTGAGTGAACCCCACACCGATGTTATCATGTTGGCATCCTCCGTGCGAGAGCTTGTGCGGAAGCAGCTGAAGGATCCACCTGGTGGGTTTAGGGTTCGGGGGGTTTTGGGGGAAGAACGCTGTGCCTCGCAGTTCTTTGCTATGCCCTGCTGTAGAAGGGGGGCATGGGGGGGGGGGGGGGGCGACTGGCTTCATTGTCCATGGCTGAAGTGTGACTTCTTTTCTCTACTATATCCCCCTTGAGATTTTTTAACATTTTTGTTTCTATACAACCCAAGAGGATATTGAAAATAGTATCTTTTTTAGGTTCTACGGGGAGTATAGTTTAGTTTTCTCTCTTCCACTCGTCAGCCGATCTGTGTCGTCGGGTCGCTGCCTCTCAGCCTGGGAAGGAGCCACGACTGCCACTGAGCATCGACAGTTACTGCAGCGTCTGATGGCATACATCGAAGAACAGGGTTTAGGGTTTAGGGTTTAGGGTTTAGGGTTCACTGTCTCTGCAAGCTGCGATTTCAAGCCGAAGGCTTTGAAATCGCAGGGTCACTTCCTCTGCAAAACCGTAGAGTTCTGTACAGACTTGGGTTGTGCTTTGGGATGATTTCCAATACCCCTTCTTTCACTTTAAGGGAGCCTCGTTCCAAGTAACTTTGCACAACTCAGAGACCCAGTTGCAAGTTGCGAGCCTTCTCATGCAAAGCTCATTCGGAAGCTGGCAATGCTCCCAGCAATGACCGCATCACCCTTTTCAAAAAGATATACGGCCGTTTCTCTAAGGCATGGTTCCCCCTTTGGGGTCCTTATCATAAAGCGGCCCCGCCTAAACCCTAAACCCTAAACCCTAAACCCTAAACCCTAAACCCTAAACCCTAAACCCTAAACCCTAAAACCTGCTCCGCTTCAGGAAGAGACTGGTTGCCTGGCAGCTGTGAAGCTTTTACAGGCTCAAGGCCCTGGGATGGTGGGCCGCAAATGGCATTTAGGGTTTAGGGTTTAGGGTTCAGGGTTTAGGGTTTAGGGTAAGGCAAGGAGTAAAGTTGCCATCTGGTGCGGATCTTCCAGCAGCAGCTTTCCGGCAAGTCAGTCCAAGTTAGATCGCAGCGATTCTTGACATGGGAAGTTCCGAGCACCCGATCTTGCAGAGCCTGCTGAACCTGGAGGCGTGGCGGTTCGACTTAGGACCTGGGACCATGGGATGAGTCGTGATGAGCCCAACAGTCTTGGTGCAGGTTTAGGGTTTAGGGTTTAGGGTTTAGGGTTTAGGGCCTAGGGTTGTTACTCAGAGATAGGGTCGGGAATGCCTCGGGGGGGGGGGGGGGGTTCAGTTTTCATCGATGAGCGCCTCGATCTCCTCAGTGTTGGGGTCTTGCCCGCTGAGCTCTTAGACTCCGACTCTTAGACATTGTGGTTTGGATTTGGGAATTCAGCTCTCCGTGACGTGGTGGTGTGGGCGTGCCGTGTTGAAACGGAAGCAGCACTAGGATGAACCCTAAACCCTAAACCCTAAACCCTAAACCCTAAACCGAGCCTCATGGAAATTTCCGTGTGCTTGGGCAGGCCGACTTGCAGCAGGTCTTTGAGCGGCTTGCCAGTCAGGCACACATCATGCCTTTTGCAGATGTTGTGCAGCCTGATCGTTTAGGGTTTTGGGTTTAGGGTTTAGGGTTTTGGGTTTTGGGTTTTGGGTTTAGGTTTGCTGTCCTTTCAGGTGCATGACTTGCAAAAGGACGTGCAAGGCGGCGCCAGGCAGGAGCAGGTCAGCTCTGATTGGAATGTGCCCTCCGAACGCGTGCCCATAGCGGAGCCCGCAGCCGAAGAGCTTGAATACTGCATTTCCAGCGGCTTTGCCGCATCTGGTTTAGGGTTTAGGGTTTAGGGTTTGTGTGCTTGGCTGCTTGAAAATCTTGTGCAAAGCTCAATGCTCGTCTTCCTTGTGCCCCAGCAATGCCTCACCAGAAGCTCGCCCCTAAACCCTAAACCCTAAACCCTAAACTCTAAACCCTAAACCCTAAACCCAACAGGCTGCGACAGTCTGTGTGAGCAGTGCGATGCCGACGAATGGGTCGGTGCGGTCGCGGCCGAGCCCGTGCGCCGACAAACGTCGCTGCTGCAACAATCAACGAAGGCCTTCGGAAGCTGAAGTTGTCGCAAGAGCAGAGTCAGGTATTTCAATGGTTTTCAGACTGCGGAAAACTGCGGGGAAGCTTGCGCAGTAGAAGCCAATGTGTTCTAGTGAATCATGTGATCATGCAGTTGTTCAGAAGCTGCGATGGTCAGGGCGGGCTTGACCAACCACAGCTGCGACTCAGTCCACTTCTCATGGAGCGCCCTTGTCTGCATCTGAGTTCGCATCCTTACCTAAGACGTGCCCGCAACCTCAAATCGACCTCGACGGCCTCGACATACTGCCATGACGGCACGCTCGAAGCGTGATTGCAGGAGTGCGGCGGCAAAACCGGCCGAGACAAAGGCACCCCCGACCCCCGCGGCCCGCCCGCCCCCTCACCCCCACTGCATCGGCACGTCATATGTCTCAGACGGCGATTGCAGGCCCGTTGCCCCGCGTTGCTCCTTCTGCACCTGGGGGTAGTTGCAGCATCTCTCGTTTTTCCCAACCAATGCCCCTTCTTCGCCCCCTCTTTGGGTTAAGGGTTGAGACAAAGTAGGAAGGCTCCATTTGTTTTGAGAGAGAGATGGGGCTTGCCATCTTAGATTTTCAAGCCCTCTTAGATTTTCCTTTTGGGGGGGCTTAGGGTTTGCCACTCTTTTGTCATCTCCTAGCGTACTGTAGGGTTAGCCATGATGCATGCCCTTTCGTGCTTCGGGTCCGTCATCCAACATTCCCCCATCATGCCCAAACCCAAAAGTGGTTCGTCCAGCAATGGGGACAACATGTGGGAAAAAAAGCCCTAAACCCTAAAACCGGGGTTCGGGCTTGTAGGCTCCGAGCTAACAGGCCAAACGATATGGGGGGTCTTTGAAAGTGGGGGTTCTCATACTAAGGCATCTGCGGTTACCCCTATGTCGCAAGTACCCGCATATCCCCCCGCAAGAGATGCAGTCGCCGGAGTCCACGGCCTGAGCCAATCGGCAAGCTTTCGAGTCAACATCGCAAGGATCGGCCGCAGGTCGTGCTTGGCCCCTAAACCCTAAATCCTCCTAAACCCGAAAACCCTAAACGCTAAACCCTAAACCCTAAACCCTAAACCCTAAACCCTAAACCCTAAACCCTAAACCCTAAACCCAACTCTCCTAAGGCCAAGGAAAAACTCTCCCTAAACTCTCAACCCTTGGGCTTCGCCGAGAGACCTTCAGACAGTGCACGCCTCGCCTGGCCCGTCCGAGTGTGAGTAATTATCCCCAGTTCCGTGCCCATTGGTACTGCTAGGCCCACCCTAAACTAAACGCTAAACCCTAATCCCTAAACCCTAAACCCCAAACCCCAAACCCCAAAAGCCCGAGGCTTTCCATGAAGAGCAAGGGCGCGCTCAACCACATCGACAGGCACAAGATCAGGGAATCGATGGAGGGAGCGCCTCGTCTGCGCCACAAGAATGTGAGGAAGGGTTTTAGGGTTTAGGGTTTAGGGTTTAGGGCTAGGGTTTAGCTTCAGCACGGGTTCAAAAAGTGTTTAGGGCTTGGGGTTTGGGGTTTTGGGGTTTAGGTAGATTTCTCTACCAGGATGGGCGGTTCGACTCTATAACCCTTAAAAAAGGGCCTTAAAAGGGCTGTTTATGGGGGAGTGAAAGGGCCGAATAGCCCATCCTGGTTGTAAGCACTTTCCCTACGATTGCCCGACTTATACCCCTAATTTTAGTGCCCATGAAGTGCAAAGAAGTGTTCTCGTCGTGTATTATTTGCTATCGCGCACCATTCTGTCCCTAAACCCTAAACCCTAAACCCTAAACCCTAAACCCTAAACCCTAAACCCTAAACCCTAAACCCTAAACCCTAAACCCTCAGGCGGCTTCTCGGAGTCGACCCATCATGAAGCCCACCGCGCAGATCCTCGAAGAAGTGCAGCATTGCAGGCACCCTCTCACAAGTCGCAGCACTGGCTTAGGAGTAGGTTTAGGGTTTAGGGTTCAGGGTTTAGGGTTTAGGGTTTTGGGTAGGAGAACTGGCCAGATAGCCGTTTCGGGGCATTAGAATCCCTATATGCTCCCAAAGGTTAACCTTCTCCAGTCCCCCTCGGATACTGGACAACTAAGCTCGACCCTAAGCCCTCTTTGGGAGTATTCTATGTTGGCTACTTCAAACAGCACCCAGCAATAGACCCTACTTCAGCACTGACCTTTTTTCCGTTGCTCTTCCCGATCCCCCCGGGGGGCCTCACGGAAAGGACCTGTGGTGTGCTCGCGCCCGAATCCAGACCCCGAGTGTTGTGGGACCTCTGTGGAGCAATCTTGATCTTGATCGACGTGTTCGTGTCGCCAGCATCCATTGCCTGGGAGCTGGAAGTGACTCCCCTGAGTCACGACACGCGGCGGTGACTTTTTTGGGGGTTTCGGAGACCAGCCTCAGTGGCGCCATTCATCTGCTAAAGGAGTGTTGTGTGAGTGTTGTTTCTCGAGCATCCGGGTAGAAGCCGCTCTGCTACGAAGCGTGCGCTAGCAACTGCTGAACTACTGTGTCAGCATGTAGACACCCGCTCATGCTCGGCTCAGCCTCCGTGGCTAAGGACATATTTTTGGCACTGTTCTCCTGGGCATCGCTGATCTTCTGGTCTATGGACCATGTTTCCGTTAGAAGACACCTTGTCATGTGCCTAAAGCGCGGGGAAACGCAGCCAATTTGTACGTTCTGGAGAAGGTGTGCTGCTTCTGCCTTTTATGTGAGGACATCATCATGAACTTCAACACTGCTTTCTACAGCAATGGTACGTTGCGGGTCCGGCGACGTGAGATAGCTCGGAACTTAGCGATGTGCCGCACTTTCTATGCATCGCAGTGGCGTCCCCGCAGCTACAAAGCTCTGGCAGGCTCGGAACTACATCTCAAGCTGGCTTCTATTTGATGCGACCCCCAGCTGCATCATGGTCATGCCCCATCTGTGCATGCCAGCGTAAGCGTAGCCGCGGCGAGCGCTTGAAGCAAAGAATGGACGAGCATGATGACCCTAAACCCTAAACCCTAAACCCTAAACCCTAAACCCTAATAAGAGGGTCGAAATCCCCTAGGGAACCAGCAACTGGAAGCCTTAACGTCCCCTGCAGAAGCCATCGAGCTGAACATTCCCGGCCGGGGAGACCATCCTTTAACACCGTGAGCTTACACTCGGTTTAGGGTTTAGAGTTTAGGGTTTAGGGTTTTGTGTTATATCGTTTGCGCCATCAGGAGAAAGGTTTGCTCGACCCAGTTTGCCGGCTGTCAAAGTAGCCTCTGCTCCCAAGGGGCGTCGTGGCTTTGGACTTCTTCGGCTTTGTGTCAGACTCGCAGGGGGAAGATGCCAATTATGTCAGCTCCTTCCGAACTGCGCGCAGCTGGGCGGGCTCTGAGCTTGTGTCTCTTTCAGCCCCACCCTAAACCCTAAACCCTAAACCCTCGAAGGCTGTGCGCACCTAGGCATACTGAGAGTTCTTCGAGCGCTGCGAGTTGTCCGCATAGTCAAAGCCAGCAGACTCAACGTAATGGCCGAGAACATGGCCCACGCCTGAGATTCTCTGAGGTGTTTAATGACACCTGTCAATCCCCTCCCCCTAACATAAAACCCCCCCCCTACCCCCCAATATTAAATACCCCGCCCATAGTAGTTATATTATAGTGTATTAGGGGTCTTTAATCTTAAGGGGTAGGGGGGTTTCATATTAGGGAGAGGGGATTATCAATACAGTAGATGTCAGACCAGGTGATTGCCATTGGAAGGCAGTGGCTGATCATGGCGTTTGGGATCGTGAGGAGAACCGCGTGCTTGTGCCGGCAGCAGTTGGCGGTAGAGCTGGACCCTAAACCCTAAACCCCAACCCTAAACCCTAAACCCTAAACCCTAAACCCTAAACCCTAAACCCTAAACCCTAAACCCTTGGGGGGTCCGCCAGGATGCTCATTGAGATCTCCATGGTGGTGCATGCGCTCGCGTGCGCATGGTTCGGGGTGGGAAAGGTTCTCTCATCCGACCCACAGGCCATCGATCCTTCCACCAAGTACGGGACACACGGGTAGTTCTCGAAATTCGGGCCCCTTCTGAAATACATAGTATGGCACCCTCAAATAAAAGGGACCCTAACGCAGAGAACGACCCGTAAACCCTAAACCCTAAACCCAAAACGCTAAACCCTAAACCCTAAACCCTAAACCCTAAACCCTAAACCCTAAACCCTAAACCCTAAACCCTAAACCCTAAACCCTAAACCCTAAACCCTAAACGGTGAAGGTGACCAGCTGGCTTGTTTTGAACGGTGTTCTGGCGCAGCCTGCGATTGTGCAATACATCCACGCACTGCAGTGGATCATTCAGCCACCATCCCCTGCACCTTGGTTTGGGCTTAGGGTTTAGGGTTTAGGGTTTAGGGTTTAGGGTTTAGGGTTTCAGGGTTCAGGGTTGCAAAAAGGGGTTTAGGGTTTAGGGGCAAGTGCAGTGCAAAGCGCCCTCTTCATCTCAACATCTCGCACCACTCTGCAAGGCGCCGTTGGATCCTGCCAGTGGCGTGGAACGGTTCATGCAGTTGGTCAATGCCGCGGCTTAGCTGCAGGGGCCCGCAGGGATAATGGAGTGTGCGTTTCAGGCCCTCTCACAAAGTTCCGATACACATGCAGATTGAAGCCGGCACATGGCGGCTGACTTGTACAGAAGGTCACGACGGTGTTGGTGATCGGAACCGCGCTGTCGCTGCTGACGGGTACATTGCAGGACCCCTCTGTGCGGGTACATGTTCCACTAGTGCCATGCGCGATCGTCAGCATTCTTTGCCATCCATCCTTCGTTCATCTTGAGCTTTGTGTTTGACACCTTCTCTCCACCTTTTCCTCAGTCCAGCCTTACCCCACCAGTCAGACATCATGTAGATGGTCAGCGCCTGAGACTTCTGCGACTTCCATTCCTTTGGCCTGGGTTGTTCGAGATTACCTGCAGTCTATTGCTGATCTGCGCTTCGTTGCCCATCTCACGATGAACTGCCAGAAGAATGCTGTCTTTAAAAGATGGGCTCGCAGGAAATTCGGAGCATCAACGAGGACACGTAGACGGGGATGTGTGCTCCTCTTGATGCACTGTCGTGCGATCCTGCTGTGTTTCTGCGCAGAAATTGACAGGAGATGAACCGCAAGCGTCGTGAGCTGCGCATTTACCTTCATGCACAATCGGCCCCTACCAAGCGCCTTTGCGGAGAGTGATCCATCAAGCAAAAGTCATGAACCACAAACTCAAAGCAGAAGAAGGCCGTCTCATGAGTGAGCAGACATACCACCCGAAACCCGAAACCCTAAACCCTAAACCCTAAACCCTTGTGAGCGATTAAACCCTAAACCCTAAACCCACATACCTCTGCCCATGCTCGGCCCAGGCTCGTGATGCGGGTCATGAGCTTCGCGGACTACAAGCTGGCGAGGTATTCCTCGGTCTCCTACGACCCCCTGTTGCTTGGTAGCCCTAAACCCTAAACCCTAAAACCCTAAAAGCCCAGAAATCAACCCCAAAAAAGTGTGCCCTTATGATGATATGGTTCCTGGGCTGCGAAGGCTCTTCTCGCCGAAGCTCCAGGCTGAGCTGGCCGTGTGGCAGAGCCTTCGTAGCTGAGTGAGTACACTTGACACTTTTTTTGGGGATACTCTGACCCCTATAAACCTGAAAGTCGCTTTTTTGGGATACTCTGACCCTACAAACCTGAAAGTGTGCACTTTTTTGGGATACTCTAACCCCTCTATAAACCTGAAAGTGTGCACTTTTTTGGGATACTCTGACACCTCTATACCCCTCTATAAACCTGAAAGTATGCACTTTTTGGGGGCTTATGAACTCTCAGCAGCCAAGGAACAGGCATCTCCTGGAAAAGCATCCGCTCTTCGGCCTCGCGGCTGCAGATGGTTCAAGGAAGCATGTGTGTGGGTATGTATGTATACCTGTATAAGATTATGGGGTGTACAGTAAATTGGCCAGATTCGTAGCTTTGATGCGATCTTGTCTTGCGCTCTTGCACAACTCAGAACTGACCTCAAGCGTCTTTCCGACCCTCCGCTGCAGGAAGGGGGCTTGCCCATGTGAAATTGCCTCATGTGCGGTACAAAGGCTTGCTCGCGCGAGCAAGAGGTCTTTGATGACCGTGAAAGACTCGAACGGATGCGGTTGCTTTGGATCGCCGAGCGAAGCGTCATCGCATTTCTTAGCGGCGTCCCAAAGCATCATTGTCACCTCCCTGCGGCGTAGGTGTAGAAACCAGAGCCTAAATGCGCATAGTTAAGGAAGGCTTGTGGTGCAGCGGCTCCTGTATCTAATGACGCAAAGCCTCTTAAACGTGACGCAACGGGTCAAAACGACGAAGAGCGATCTTGAGAGAAGCAGTGCCAAGGAAGGTCTTCGCGGAAATTTGCCGGGTCATTCAGAAGAACTTGTACCATGAGGCAGGCGCCTCGGTTTTGCAGTCACTCCCAAACTTGTACTGGAGCATACGGGGATCTAAGGGCAGCTACATGGTCCCTTAAATATGGTCCCTTGCCTTCTTTAAAGGCCCTTGGGTTCTATGGGGTATATATATATATGTATAAGGGGTATATGTGGGCCGAATTTAAGGGCCCACATGTAACTACCCGTAGAGGGGATGATGGGGGGGTTTGGTGGTGGGGGGCCAGCTCAAGATTCTAGGATTCCACGGTGGAAGGCCTACATGGTCTTGTGCAGACTGTTTGTTTGCGTAACCCTAAACCCTAAACCCTAAACCCTAAACCCTGAACCCTGAGCCCTGAGCCCTGAACCCTAAACCGGAACTCCGAATTTAGGTTGTTCCCCCCAGTAAGTGCCCTGCAGGTCAGCTAGGCGGGTGGCAGAAAAAAACCTATATGATACCAGCAGTCCTTAGTAGGGATTATAGTACCCCCCCGATTAGAATCCCTATGAAGGACTGTTAGGGGGTGCGAACATCCCAACCTATAAACCCCGAGCCGTCATGGATGCATTCGTATCTGATTCAGGCTAAGCATAGCCTCGAGAAGCAAGGATCTCCCCGAGGTTGACATGGTGTGTGTGTGTGTGTGTGTGTGTGTGTGTGTGTGTGTGTGTGTGTGTGTGTGTGTGTGTGTGTGTGTGTGTGTGTGTGTGTGTGTGTGTGTGTGTGTGTGTGGGTGGGTGGGTGGGTGCGTGCGTGCGTGCGTGCGTGCGTGCGTGCGTGGGTGGGTGGGTGGGTGGGTGCGTGCGCGTGCATGCGTGCGTGGGTGGGTGGGTGGGTTTGTGTGTGTGTGTGTGTGTGTGCGTGCGTAACCTTTGTAACTCCAGAGAATCAGGGCTCCCAAACCCACTCCTAGCCGGTTTAGGGTTTTCGCCCTAGCCTGTGTTTGTTCAGTTTGACCCGATCCTGCCGGGACCCACAGCTTCCCCCGCAGCCCCTGCAGTAGAGAACTCCTGGAAGGCCGAAGCGGTGTTTTCGCTCGGTCTGCTTGCAGAGCATCTGCTTGGGACTTAGCTCCTATAGGCCCGGCCCTGAGGCTACTTGGAGGTTAAGGGGTACTTCTAAGTGGGGTTCGAAGTACCGAAATAGGGTTAGAAGTTACAACCAATTTAGAAGTACAACTACCCTACTTCGAACCCTACTTCTAGCTACCCTTGAACCTCCAAGAAAGCCATGCGGCTTCGGTCCTCGGTGATGTTCGATGGTTCAAGACGCTGCGTCATCTTGTCCTTGCAACCCTAAACCCTAAACCCTAAACCCAAAACCCAAAACCCTAAACCCCAAACCCTGTCTTTGTGGCATGGCCAAGTCGGATGCAGCGAGGTATATCACCAATGATGGTGCCTTTGCCGTTGTCGATCACAGGGGCGATCTGCAGCATTTCGAGAACGAGGTCCGTCATTTCGCGGAGGCCGCATGCAACATGCTCCTTTCCAGCTCGGCGAATGGATGGACCCTGGGACTGACAGACGGCCATGCTGTGTGTGGTCGTAGGTGGCGCTCTATGCCGATGTTGCAACGGGCCCAGAATGCTCCAGCAGACTTTGCCTAAACCCCAAGCTCCCTGTCGAGTGGGCTCTGTCCAAGGTGATGCACGATTGCACTCTGCGCGCTTCAAGCTTTGCGGAAGTCTTCACACTAAGCACGAAGCAGCTGGTCTCCGTCCTGAGCCCTTGCTGCGATCATATGCGGCAATGACCAGATGAAGTTGATGTAAACCCCAAACCCGAAACCCTGAACCCGAAAGCCTAATTTCGGTCCTGGAGGACAAACGCGCCGATCTGCGCATCGATGTTCATCGACTATGCGAAGGACTACATGTTGCAGTACCTTGGTTTAGGGTTCAGGGTTCTGGGTTTTCTTTTCTGAAAGCAAGCAACCCCTTGACAAAGGGTACCTTCATTTCATGATATTATGGCGCCTTGGCCTATTGAGGTACTCCTTGTCAATGGTGCAGCCTGATCGTGATGTGATTTCTGCGGAGATGGACTGTGCAGTCCTGGCTGCTCATCTGCATCTATAGTGATCATACGAAGAATAGAAATAAGAGTCATAAGAGTAATAATTAGGGTAACAAGATTTAGAACAGCAACAATGCTGCCCTCCGCATCACACTGCTTGCTCTCAAAGCTATCACACTTCTGAACCGAGGCCGCAGAGACCAACCCGATATATCTCGAGATGGAGTTGCACACCCATAAGCTCTTGAAGAACATGAACCTCGCAGCCGTGATTGACTCTTCAAAGCCAGACAAGAGGCTCGGGTGTCAAAGAGGCGTGGGGACTGCAGAATTTTCGTTTCAAACTCCTGCAGTCCCGAGGCTAAGCCCAGGGGGCTTCATGGACTTCGTTCTCGGGGATGAGCCCATGGAGTCACTGCCCCTCGCTTTTGCGTGCGATTGTTTGGGGCTTGCTCTTGCATGTAAGTAAACATGGATCGCCCAACCTTGCCATGTATACATATGCCATACATATAGGTAATAAGTATGAATTTTGCCATATACTCCAAAAAAGTATACATGTACTAGAGGCTGGACAAACTCTACCGGAGCTACATCGAGTCGGACCCATCTCACGGTCTGCACGCGCTCTTCGAAGAGTCACATGGGCACCAGGGGGGACAAGAGCGAGTCGAAAGCAGCTGCGTGAGCCTGGCTGCGCTGGTTCGCGGCGACCTGGAGGCCGGGGCACGACGGGGCACGTTGAAACTTCACGTGGTAACAATTTATAATAGAATGATATATATATATATATATATCCACACTATCAATACATCTATAAAATATGTATCATATGTATAATATGTATAAATATATATACATATATATGTATGTATGTATGTATGTATGTATGTATGTATGTATGTATGTATGTATGTATGTATGTATGTATGTATGTATCATATTATTACGCCTCTCCGTTTCCGAGGCATATGCATATCCACAGCGTGATGACGTCCGGATCACGAGTGAGCAGTGGCAGCAGCTGCAGAGAATCCTGCATTGGACATCGGTTGACCAGGACCTGCAGCCTAAGGGTTTAGGGTTTAGGGTTTAGGGTTTAGTGTTAATGAAAAAAGAGCAAGAAAACTCGGAAGTCAGTACGGGCAAGAGAAACTTCAGACTGCGGTCGGTAGTGAGTAGGGGCGTTTTCTACGCACACAAATAAGTACACTACTTCTGTTCCTGATTGGAGAAGGACAAGCTCCAGGCCGTTTTCTTCCTGCTCGTTGCGCATGCCATCGGCAAGTACAGGCTGAGCTGACTCTCGAAGTCCGCTTGTGAACAGAATTCTGCAAGGATGCTGCAAGGATGTCATGTCCCACTGTGTAGGCCGTATGGCATGGCATGGTATGGTGTAAAGAGTTCAGTAGGTATGCCTAGGCGCTGTAGGGGTGCCAGCGCTCGGTGCAATAAAACCATCCTGTTGTTGGGCAGGGTGTAGCATCTCATCGGTGCAATCTTGTCAAAGGTCTGCTTGTGCTGAGGGGTGCACTCCATGGGTACCTTTAAACGCTTGTGCGCCCACACGGCTTGCGGAACCTCTTTCAGGGCGGTCTCCCGGCAACTTGCCCCAGAGCATCAGAAGCCAGAGGCTGTCTCGGAGCTGCAAGCAGATCCCTTTCTTCGTGGCAGGTGCGATGTTCCGAGCCAAAACTGTCTTAACCCCAAACCCTTTAACATACTCGGTCCACTCGGTGTCGTCCGAGGCGCTCCTGCACATCCTGGACTTCTTCCCAAATGCCGTGCCCACCGCGGAACTGCTGAGCTTAAGGGCACAGTACCTCCTGCCCCTTGGCGCACGGAAGGTTTGGGGCAGCTTTGCAGCAGCAATTCTGACTTGCCAAAGGCGGGACGTGTTGCAACTGGCGACCCTCTTCAACTTTGCTCAGATGCTGTCCTTCAGCTCATATGGGAGTTTCCGAAGTTGGGGGGGGTACCTTCTTGGGGGTCCTGATTATAAGGGGATCCTACTATTTGGGGGACTATATTAGGGGTGCCTTATTTTCGTAAGCCCCCATATTCGGATGGGGCTTTCATGGATTGGGACCCTCAGGAGCGTCCAGCAAATGCTCGGTTTTCAAACGGTCGAACATTGTCAGTGTAGTCACTATCCGCAGTCTTTCAGAAGTCGGGGGGTTGCAGGAGACGCCACAAGACTTCCTGAGTGGTAGGGTTTAGGGTTTAGGGTGGTAAGGCAAGCGGAGAATGTTCCTGGCAATGTGCTCTCGCTGCAGAAGCACTTGGCAAGCAGAGACCATCCCCAGGACTGTCTTCCGTTCTTAGCGTAGCTGCGGGCTGCGTTGAGCAAGATTCAGAAGCAACTTCAGCATGCAGCATCATGCAGTACTGGCATGGTGTCAGAGTTGGGCGTGTGGCTTTGATTTCCCATCAAGCTCTGCTGCCAGGACTTGCTGCAAGTCTACATGCTGTATATGCTTGGGTTCATTAGTGGACTCGCTGGTGGATTAGGGTCGCGCTTCATGAACCGCCACAACGCGCGCGGAACTCTTCTCGGACTCACGGCGTTGCAACATATTCTGGACAAGGCGAGGCCCATCCCCAGTCAGTCGCTACACACCTGGTTAGATACGGGGTATATGTATATATATATATATATGGTATATATATATACACATGTATATGTATGATATATATGTATAATTACATACATTATATATATACACACTATATCTAAGGATAAAGGGCCCATAGGCTTAAGGGCCCATATCAAGGCACCATGCAGCTGCCCTAAGATTCCTGGGCCCGATCTCGCCGGGCAGGATCCGAAGATGGTCTACTGGAGCTATGTCCAGCAACGATGCCAGCTTCTGGGGCTTCAGGCTCCTGCGCTTAGGGTTTAGGGTTTAGGGTTTAGGGTTTAGGGTTTAGGGTCAGGCAAGCTACCACAGGAGGCCCTGAAGCAAAAAAGGGGTCATGCCCTGCCATGATGCCTGCAAGATGTCAGGGCCCACAAGCAAAACAGCACGGCTCTTTGGCCCTCCGTTCTCTGTGCTCTTGCCCTGAACCCTAAACCCTAAACCCTAAACCCTAAACCCTTGAGAATGACTTACTTGGAGTTGCTTGAGAAGGCGCAACAGCCGGAGGACCTTGCGCTGGGCCGTCTGGCGTGTCTTTGTCGAGTGCAGGGCCGCAGCCTCATAAGGGTCGACGTTGGTTATTAATATTATATTACCAGATGTCATGAATTATAGCAAGATGGTAATATAGTAATATAGTGATATAGTGATATAGTAATATAGTAATATAGTAATATAGTAATATAGTAATATAGTAATATAGTAATATAGTAATATAGTAATATAGTAATATAGTAGTATAGTAATATAGTAATATAGTAATACAGTAATACAGTAATATAGTAATATAGTAATATAGTAATATAGTGATATAGTGATATAGTGATATAGTGATATAGTGATATAGTGATATAATGATATAGTGATATAGTGATATAGTAATATAGTAAAGTAATATAGTAATATAGTAATATATAAATATAGTCATATAGTCATACAGCAATATCGTAATACAGTAACATCGTAATTTATAAGAATTTGAAATAAATAGTAAAGAAGTGGGCAGCTGCATACAGCTGCGGTCGGCATATGTGCCCCCTTCAAAAGGTGAGGGCGACTATTGCCACATCCTGCGCGCCTGGCATCAGCTGAGCTGCTTGGCAACCTGCTGGACAATGCCGTGCTTTCTTTCTCAACCCTAAACCCTAAACCCTAAACCCTAAACCCTAAACCCTAAACCCTAAACCCGAGAGGTTCTGCCGAGCGGTGGATGCTGACGAAGCACTTCGTCGCAAACGGCATTACCACAAATGCCATTGTGTTCGAGCGCCATGGATTGTCTTACTGCATGATGCGCTCTTGACGGTGGGTAGGCCCTGGCACTTGACCTGCTCGAAATGCACACTCAGGTTTCTACCGCTCTGTCTGGAGCACGCCAGAAAGAATCCATTTGTAACTGTCCAAACACTGCTGGAGGCCCGGGGCGATGTGTTCTGTGGGGGTTTCCGAATCCTTTCTTGGGGGTCCTAGAAGAAGGATTCGATCATTTGGGGGTATATTCAGGGCACGCCTATCTCTTTGCAACTGCTTTTACGATCTTTTTCCATCAGGGTGTTATAATATCGGGTCATGTTCTTGCTAAAATGGGCTCTGGCTCTATGTTCCGGACAGGTGCTTGTGGAGTTGATCCAGGTGGTGCAAGCAGCTGTGAAAAAATCGCACAGCCGAGGCCGACGTGAGTTTTTCTTTCTTAACTGTTATTGGTGAGTGTATGTAGGGTTCCTTATGAAAATTGGTGAGTGCATATGTTGGGGGTCTTTATGGGGATGTTAGTGGTTGTAAATGCTTGCGCACGCCGCGGCAGCCGGGCCGGCCCAGAGCATGCAGGGGGGGTTGGGGGGGGTTGGGGGGGGGGGGGTTGGGGGGTGGGCCTCGTTGGGTGCCGCCGACAGGGGGACCCTCCACAGCATCGGTTTGCAGCTGCTCCAAGCGATCGGGGGGGGGGGGGTGGCGGAAGGGTTGGGTTAGCGGGAAGGAGACCGATCCGGGTCTGCTTGTTCCAGACGCTTCTCGGCAGGAAGCCGAGGCGAATGTAAACCTGCTTCATGTGAGAGATGAACTCTAGTTAGTATCAACCACCAGTCTGTTCGTGGTGGACAATATCAAGTTGGCGATTCCGTGGCATATTTGTTGGTTCCTGCCGCATCACGTCGCTACTTGCCCCGGTGTAGGCTACAGCCGGTGACACTCCTGCGTCGCTTCCTGTGGTAAAGGTACACCGTGTGCGGATGTAGACATTCACTGGCATGGCAGTATACTCAAGTGTACGGCTTCGTGAGGGATTTCCGGATATCTGATGACCAACACATCTCCATAGCAGTGCGGGTTCAGAGTGTGCACGCTTTTGGGCCTCCCGCTTGCCCATGTGCAAGCATGTCCGTGTCCGGAAACTAAGATACAGTGAGTGGAGTACAGATCGCAGTTGTAAGGTGAAGTAAGGCGGGATATGACTGGAAAATCGAACGCGTCAGCCGCTGACTTCGCGTCACGGCACAGGCTGAATAAATCATGGTCCACGTCAGTCGACTTCAGACGCCAGACATCGTGGGGAAGCAGCGGAACACCGTAGGATTGCCTCGTGATGGCAACTCCCTTAAACCCTCAACCCGAAACCCTAAACCCTAAACCAACTTGGCCAGATGTGCTGAGTAGGCCCTCACAAGAACCATGAGACAGTGTGTGCCTCGCCTGGCTTGTCCGAGTGTGAGCGATGCAACCCTAAACCCTAAACCCTAAACCCTTTGGGAGGTCACCGCGCAGTCCATGTGGAGCTCTCTGACTTGGCGGCATTCATCATGATGGTGCAGAGCCTCAGTAGTAGAGTAGGCAACCTTTTACCTTTTTTTGGGGATTATTGTAATCACAGTAGAATCCCAAAGGTTCACCTTTAATTCCCCCCTAAACCCTAAACCCGAAACCCGAAGCCCTAAACCCTAAACCCTAAACCGTGTTACTGGACAACTAAGGAACAGCTATATCTTTCAAAGTTGCTTGTTGCGCTCAAAGCTGCGCTTCAGGGCATCTCGGCTGTTGTTGGGGATGTGCTTGCGCGGTTTCGGGTTTAGGGTTTAGGGTTCATGCCTGGGGTCATGCTAGTCATGCCATGCTGCTACTTCTGTGTGTCAAATACAAGGACCCAGATTACATCCTCGAGTTAACCCAGGACTCTGCCAGAGAATGTCCGGAAAGTAATCCAGACTACAGATACGGATCACATGACCCTTTGCAGGAGAACTGGGGGCGTGTGGGCGAGCCACAAAGTGATGTTACAGCGCGCCCTTCCTGCAGACAGCCTCCTGAGCCGTGTTCACGACGATTGATCCCCAACCCTCAACCCCAAACCCTAAACCCTGAACCCTAAGCCCTAAACCCCAATCCTAAACTCCAAGTACAGTATCTCATATTCAGTCACTCTCGTGTGAGAGAACTGCGCGTGTGAAGCTGTGCAGCGCCCTGAGCTGACGTCTCTAAGGATGGCTAATTCCCTGCGGGGGCTCTGGCAGCTTCAGAAAGTCTCGAACGAGACAGCTGCGCAAGCCAGATCTGAAAACCCACCCGCTTCGACATGAAAACAGGGGAGGGCGCGACTTTTGCTATGGGCATTGGCGCCCGACAGGCGCTGCGTGACGCTGCGCTTGCTCGCCGAACCTGCGCAAGTGTTAAGTTTGAAAGTTCTTGCTGCAGATTGCTGAGCCAGCAAGTGCCCCGGACTTGCGATCCGTTCTGTGATCAACAGCCAAATCCGTGTGCTGGAAGATGTTAGCGAGCACAACGTCACAACGTGCACTCATATGTTGTTCGGAAACGTTTTGAGTGTCTGCATTCGGGAAGTTTGCTGCTTCCACAAGTAAGTGCAAGCATCAGCCTGTAGGCGCGATTGCAAGTCCGCTGGCTGTGCTTCAGCCTTTAAAATTCTTGGTTGCCTTGCAGCCCAAGGCTTATGTGGAGGCGACCTCGCAAACTTTTAGACCCTCCGTATCCTGGCAACACCAGTGAGAAAAAAGGCAAGCACAGGTCTGCGTGGAGGCTCAGGGGTACTTGAAGATGGGGCTACGAGTACCCTAAGCAGGGTTAGAACCCATCATAACCAATATTTGCCCTTCTAAGTACCCTTGAACCTCCAAACCGTTTGTCGTGCGGAAGGCCTTGCAGAAACATCGCCATTTTATGACTCCGGATTCTTGTTTTGCCAAGCTCAGCGAGTTTCACCAAAACGGTGTCAAGACTCCCTCCATTCCTGCAGCCAGCAGCATCGCCGGAACCCCAAGTAGAAGGTCCAGAAGGGTTCGACCGCAGACTAGATGTGAGACAGCGTAGCGCGATCCAGAACGATCCGCCTGCCACCATGGCGAATCTGCCGGCCTTGCTTCACAGTAGCTTGGCTGGATCGACCCCTGGCCCTCTACAGCCCGTTTGAGGATGTTTGCGGTATAGAAGTGGTTAGACCGAATATAATAATGAAAAAACAATTGTATATATATATATATGTATATGCGTGTGTGTATGTATATATGTGTATATATAACATTACAACAAAAGTTAGTAGTATGCGCATACGTTGAAAGCTAAGGCTTGCGGGAGCTTGAGGACCAGTTGCAGAAAGTTCTCGGAGAAGTTCGTGCGGAGGCAGGTGAAGTCGACTTCTGGGGTTTAGGGCGGTTTAGGGTTTAGGGTTTAGGGTTTAGGGTTTAGGGTTTAGGGCTTTCAAAGTCATGGCACTTCCTCAGCGACTGCAATGTGACCTTCTGCAGCAATGCACCGACATCTTCGAGAAGAGTTCTTCTTCGTCCTTCGCTTGTTCTAGATTTCGGTCCTTCAGCATTCGCCATTGGGTGCCAGGTGGATTCCTTGTCTACGCATGCGGAGCCCCAAAAAGCGGAGAAGACCTCCCAGGACCCCGTTTGTGGCGGCTTCAGGTCGCATGCCGGCAGTGCAAGCAGTGGCCAGCTATATCGAATATACAATACGTAATATGCAAGATACAATAATGTATAATCTACACTACATGTATATATATATATATACATACACACGTATAATATAATGTTGGATGTCCCGCCCAGTGCCGATGTGCGATGCAAGCCCCTTGTCGAGGATCCCTCATCAGAGGTGCCTCTGGTCCTGAAGAGCTGCGTCATGTGCGAGGAGACCGAGACTGGGCTGCGCCCTAAACCCTAACCCCTAAACCCTAAACCCTAAACTAAACCCTAAACCCTAAACCTTAAAGCACAACTCAGGAGAGAGAGAATGCCTCGCACGTTGGCATCAGAAGCGCGGCGACGCAGCATGCAGCCGCTCGGCAAGTTCCTGCCATACACCCTAAATCTTCCCTAAGCCCGAGACCCAAAACCCGAAAACAAGAAACAAAAACAGAGCCTTTGCTTGTGCGAGCTTTGTTGTAGTGACTGGTACTTAATAGTCGCGGAAACACACAGCGCCGGAACAGACGTGCTGCGAGACCCTCGACTTGTCCCTGCGGAGTTGCGTGTTGGGCGTGGGCAGTGCGGGTGGCAAAAAACCCTCAGCCCTAAGCCCTAAGCCCTAAACCCTAAACCCTAAACCCTAAACCCTAACCCCTAAACCCTAAACCCTTGCCTTGCCGCGTATGTCGAGGCCTCGCTTCTGGGTCACACGGAAAGCCATCCAAAGATGCGCCTCGCGTTGCAATGGAGGGAACCTTGTGTTGCATGGTATACATTGGGATGTCCCCCCTTATGCTAACAGTCCTTTTTATGGGGATTCTGGCAGCCCCCCCTTAAGGGCTGTTAGTATAAGGGGAACATCCCAATGCATGCTATACATTTTTATATATACTAGATTTTGACAAACCATTAGATCCTTTTTGGTATACACTAAATGCTATATTTTTATCATAATGTCATATTTTATCTGGTGCTATATTTCATCATAGTATACAATAGTGTTTTATATTGTATTATATGATATGATATGATATGATATTATATTGTTGATATTTTCATTTATTGTTTTATATTTTTGATATTTTTCATGATATTCTATGATATTATATGGTATTATGTGATATTATGTGATATTATGTGATATTATGTGATATTATGTGATATTATGTGATATTATGTGATATTATGTGATATTATGTGATATTATGTGATATTATCGATGAGTTGCCTCTTGTTGCCGAAAGCCCACCTTGGAAAAGGCACCTCAACTCCCACTTCATGGAGCTCTCCCTGACATCAGGCGGTTCAGACCGAGACAGGGACTAACAGGATTTGGGGTTTGGGGGTTTAGGGTGTGGGCGTTTAGGGTTTAGGGTCTTAGGGATCGGGGTGGTTCTCTAAATTAGGCACCCCTATGTCGGGTCCTGATTATAAGGATGCCGTACTTCATACAGGACCACGACATGGGATCCAAATTCAGAGACCTACCCAGATGTGCCTCGTGACAGCTGTGACATGACCTTGTCTTTGTGGTGCTTTACTGTAACTTTAGATCCTTGGCCTTTTGGGTTTATTGGGTTTCCTAGTATGGCAGCCAAAAAACTTTCATTTATAGCTACCCTCCTAAGTGCAGCCTTGTCTGACCCAAGAGTGGTGAGCTTCGCCATATAGAGGGGTTACCGGATCTGGTAAATACTGTGATCACGGCTACGCTACAAGCACTACATCATGATTTCAGTGCACGGGTTGCGATAGAATCAGGGGAAGCATGGGTGTGTTGTTTGAAGCCCATGAGCACTCATATACAAAAGTGGCGGAAGAGACTGCTAGCCCTAAACCCTAAACCCTAAACCCTAAACCCTAAACCCTAAACCCTGTTTGTCAGGTGGGGCTCTTCATGCTGCCGGATCTGCAGGTATCCAACCTGCAGCACTTCGAGCAAACTCAGGCTTTTCTCCCCAGAGGACCCCAAGTGCTCGATTTTGAGTCGGCACTTTGTCACAAGAGCGGTTAGCCCGAAACCCTAAACCCTAAACCCTAAACCCTAAACCCTAAACCCTAAACTCTAAACCCTAAACCCTAAACCCGAGAAGGATGAAGGAAAGGACCATGCTGAACTCCTTCTGGTCAGCTGTCCTGGCGCCCCACTCGCGGCCACGCATCGCTTGGGATGCCATCGGCACAGGCTCCCTCAGGGTTTAGGGTTTAGGGTTTGAACCCTCTTCTGGCTCTCTTAAATAGGGCACCTTACTGTGAGGGCTGTATAAGCCCCAAGGGTCCCCCCTACTCCTACCCCCTAAGAAGGCGAGGGAAGTCGAGTAATCTGACTTGTTTAAAATACCTACTTAGGGCATTCGGAAGCCCACGAGAGAGAGAGGCGCGCTGCCTGAGCCGGGAAGCAGAAAGCCCCAAGTCGGAGACACAAAAGGCTCCCCCCGCCTCTAGTCTAGGGTTTGCGTTTGAGGATTTAGTTGTATAGGGTGTATATATTCTAATATACATATATATATATATGTATATATACTATATATATATATATCTATATATGTATATATACTATATATATATATATGTATACACATGTGTAGAGTGGGTTTCAGGGCAAAGCGGACCGAAGTCTATTAGGAATAGGGCGAAAGGGCTTCTAGGGTTCATGGCTTTAGGGTTGAAGGAGGTGACGCTTGCTAGTTTGAGGCGCTTCAAGGTTTTAAAGGTCCAACCAGTCGACGCCCGATCAACCCTAAACCCTAAACCCTAAGCCCTAAACCCTAAACCCTAAACCCTGAACCCTAAAACCCTAAGCCCTAAACCCTAAAAACCCAAACACCTCCCAAGTAGGGCCATCCTGGATCTGCAGGCCTCGTCATTCTGGATGCCTTGATCCTTCCGCTCAGCCTCGCATGGGATTTCGACGTGTCACCAATGAAAACTGATGCTCCTTGGCTAGCGCAGCGGTGCTTGATGTATACTGACATCAAGAGCAAGCATGCAGATGTAAAGGGAATTCGATTGCCACAGGATTTCCTCTGGGACCTTTTGGAAGGCTTGTAAGGTTCCATGAAAAGTTCGTCGACGAACAGCCCCAGATGGTATTCTTTCATATCAGCGACGTAATTGTCAGAGTCATCGTGGCTTCCAGTAAATAGGCTTTGAAGGCCATAAGCCGGCCTTTTTAGTACAATTCTGCGGCATGCTTTCCTGACTCCTGTGATGGTCCATGCTGCTAGGGCTGCATAACCATGAGAATCACGCTTGACTCGCCAGGAAGTCTTCTTGCAATTTTACGCTGTCTTGCATTTGGTCTTCTGGCCTCTTGACATTCTCGTGAACTTCAACACGGGATTCTACCAGAAAGGCGTGCTGAATCTGAAGCGATCCAGCATTGCGAAGAATTACATGCAGACGTGGCTTTCGTTTGACCTCGCGATCGTGGCTATTGACTGGCTGTCCGTGATTCAAGGTAGATGAGCGGTATCCTTTTGCCTTTTTGAGTGTCGGGCTCCTTTTTTAGAACAGTAACCCGCCCGGGCTCAGCACCCTTATCGTAAATGGGGGGGTGTACGATATTCGGGGTACCTTATTGGGGTCCTTATTTAAAGGCGATCCTGCTATTAGGCGCTCTATATTAGGGGCCCCTTGTTATCGTAAACCCCCCTATGGGAACTGGGGTACCTAAACCCTAAACCCTAAACCCTAAACCCTAAACCAAGGATTATTATCGCCACACAGGGCGATTCCGGAGTCGGCTACGCGAGATCGCTCCGAACTGCTCGGTACCTGCGAGCGCTTCGAAGCTTTCGCGTGCTCCGCGACCTGGACTTCTTCAGAGCAGGATTTAGGGTTTTAGGGTTTAGGGTTTAGGGTTTAGGTTTCGGGTTTGAGCCAAGTCCATGTGGGGGTTGAGAAGGAGAGTTAATTCGTTTGTTTGCGCCTAACTTGGCTGCGCTTGACCATGCAGTTTCTTCTGTTATTTCCTGTTTGCGTGAAGCTTCCTTAAGTGGAGTTACATGTGTGCCGGCAGTGTTTAGGTTTAGGGCACTGTCAGTTTTGTCATGACTATGTCACTGCCCACCTGGAGGCATCGTAAAGGACGACAGGGTCAACGCAATGTTGGAGAACATCGTCATTGCCATGGGCCGCCAATGGCTGATCTTGGCATTCAACGTAATGAAGATGCTCGCGTGGATTGGGTGCACAGCACATCTTCTGGCAGCTTGCCCTAAAACCAGAAAGCAGCCCAGAAACCCGAGGGTATAGAAATTGCGGGCTCATGTGCCCGCGCAAAACCGCTCCGGATCTGTGTGGCTCTGAGGCTTGTGCGTGGTGGGTAGCGCTCTCAGAAGCAAGGGGTTGCGTCCATGTTGCCTTAGTTCACATGCCGTATGTCATGTTGACTGGCAATGCTCGGCTTTGCAACGGATCTTTTGTGAGTCGCCGTCCTTTGCAGGGCGTTGGCATGCTGCATGTGGCTACTGGAAACAGCTGGATAGACTATGCGGGCGTGACACAATCTTCAGGCCTCTTGTGCAACGGACATGTTAGATGTCCTGCAATCGAGTCTTCGCTGCTCAGACCCAAACCCCAAACCCCAAACCCCCAACCCCCAAACCCCAAACCCCAAACCCTAAACTCTGTGAGTGCTTGCAGAAACCCGAAACCCTAAACCCAGCGCAGAAAACCCTAAACCCTAAACCCTAAACCCTCAGGCTACGTGCAGTACATCCACGCCTTGGCTTGGATCCTGCAACCGCCATCTCCACCGGAGCTCTCGGTGCTGGCGCCGAACCTCTAGCCCCCTTAGGGTTTAGGGTTTAGGGTTTAGGGTTTAGGGTTTAGGGTCTTACATCCAAGGGAATAGGAACAGCTGTTATTTTGATTGAGGCTCCTATTTCCTAATTTTAACCTGTAGCCCTCGCAGGAGTTTTTTTTTAGACTTTTTTCGTACATGAAACGCAAGAGGGAACACTAAACATGCAATTTTGTTAAAGGTTCTTATGTGTTCTTGTTTTGTTAGACATATCTGATTTTCATGGAAGAAGGGGAGTTGTTTTAAACCATGTTATTCTTTCAAGGTTCTAAGGGGGAGCCTAGGAACAGCTTCGCCGAGCGGCTGGTGTCCATCTTGCTGGCCACCTCGGCCGCAACGAAGAGGGCTCGTGGGCGCCCTTTGTTTAGTTTTTTTTGGCATCTTTGTGAGGCCACGCCTCCCTAAGCCCTAAGCCCTAAACCCTAAACCCTAAACCCTAAACCGCGAGGTTGTGGTGACTGTCCTGGTGATTGGGTCCTCCTTGTCCTTGCTCACGGGCACCTTGCAGGAGCTCTGGATAGCATATGGGGCCATGTTGGGCCTCATCATGTGCAGGCTAGCAAACCCTAAACCCTAAGCCCTAAGCCCTAAACCCTAAACCTTAAAGCTAGCCATGCAGTAAACGGGCTGTGTCTTGTATTTTCTTGTGCCCAGGAAATACGGACCATCAGCAATGAACGAAGTCGGAAACGCAGGGAGCTTCGGACATATTTGCATGCGCAAGCAGCACCCACTGAGTGGCTTTGCTGCAACAGTGGGCTGCACCTTGTGCTGAAACATGATGTCGCGTCGTCGCACCATTGAGTTCTTGCTCGGCCCAAGCCCAAGCGAACAGCATTTTTGAAATCCCGAGCCAAGAGCCCCGCTCGCCATGGCACGAAGTGGATCTTGGCTCCTGGTGGCCACCTGCTCCGCAGTTCTGCTCTCCGGCCTGCGATGGTGTTTCGTGCCCAGTCCCGCGCCAAAAGCGCCAGAGTTCAACCCCACCATTGCGGCCTCCGCAGCTCTGCCGGCCCTGACCATGCTTGCAGAGGATGCGGAGGCGAAGTATGGAGACCAGCGCAAGTTTGCGGCCGTCTTGGTTCCGCTCACCACGCTGGTGTTCCCTGCCGTGGCCATGGGCATGTTTGTTCCTCGGCAGCCCAGAAAATTTCCTGTTGCCCTTTTGTTTTTGGGGCCCCCTTCTAAAGCAACCCACCCCCAATAAAAGGGGTTTAGGGTATACCGGGCTACCCAGGTTCTGTACTCCTTCCAAGAGGATGCCTTCTGGCGCCTGGTGCCTGGCACCAAACGCGCTCGGGAGCTCGAAGAGGCGTGGAGGGAGCACCCACTGTTTGCCAACTCCAAGGACCCATTGGATGGCCTGATCAACCCAGATGACTATGAGACATGGACAGGGAAGGAGGTAGATGATGGCTGAGAAAGTAAACCCTTAAACCCTTGAACCCTTAAACCCTTAAACCCTTAAACCCTTAAACCCTTAAACCCTTAAACCCCTAAACCCTTAAACCCTTAAACCCTTAAACCCTTAAACCCTGAAACCCTTAAGCAAAAGAGCCTAAACCCTAAACCCTAAAACCCTAAAACCCTAAAACCCTAACCCTTAACGCTCCAAGGAGAAGGGCCTGGAAGAAGCCTGGGATCGAGCCAAGCCCGCAGGCAGCACCGTTACGGTCAAGGACAAGCTGAAGCAGATGCTAGGCCCTTGAGGTTAGGGTTTAGGGTTTCGGGTTTAGTGTTTAGTGTTTAGTGTTTAGTGATAGTGTTTAGTGTTTGGTGTTTGGTGTTTAGGGTTTAGGGTTTAGGGTTTAGGGTTTAGGCCCTTTGGGATTGGGATGTTCCCCCTTATGCTAGCAGTCCTTAATCGGGATTATAAGGTTTCTCACATCCGCCCCCCCTTTGCTGGCAGCCTCGGCGGATAGGGGGTACTAGAATCCCGATTAAGGACTGTTAGTATAAGGGGGAGCATCCCAACCTTCGTATACTTTTGTATTTTCCTTTCCTTTTTTGGGGGTCTTCAGAGGGTTTTAGGTCTAAGAGTTTAAGAATATTTTTTTCGGAGGGTTGTAAAGTGGCCATCCCAGGATGTCCAAGCAGAACAACCCTCATTGGGAGTCTTGGAGGTCGCTCTCGGCCTGAATCTGGCGACTTTCGGGCGAACTCGGGAGCCCCAAGCCCCCGAATACTTCTACAGAAGAGTGCCGGGACGTTCTGGAGGCATGCTTGGTGTGAGGCCGCTGGCCTGATTTCACATCCTTCCAAAGTTCGTGTCCTGCCGCTTGCGGCTTTGATTTTAGGAGTGCTTCGAGTGTACAGCAAGCGAGCGAGCTGCGCGCAGTTGACTCCAAAACCTTCCTGCGAACGTATTCGCAAAGGTGCCGCCACACCCCAGTCTGTAGATACACCGGATACCCAATAACATGTGATGTAGCATGCGTTGCACACATACATACATACATACAAACATACATACATACATACATACAAACATACATACGTACATACATACATACATACATACATACATACATACATACATACATACATACATACACACGCACATATATATATATATATATGTCTATATGCATAATATATATATATCTATATCTATATATATATATATAGATATATATCTATATATATCTATATATATCTATATATATCTATATATCTATATATCTATATATCTATATATCTATATATCTATATATCTATATATCTATATATCTATATATCTATATATCTATATATCTATATATCTACATATTTGTTTATTTATATTTCTACATATCTATATACCTATATATCTATATCTATATATATGTATATATAGATATATGTATATAGAATATGTTTATATGTAGGGTGACGGTGAAGGATGGCTTGGAACACCGAGGCTCATTATGCGAATCATGAGCTTCGCGGACTACAAGCTGGAGCGCCACTCTCCCGTTTCCTTCGATCCCGACCTCATCTCGCCATTGCTGGCAGCCACTTGTTTAGGGTTTAGGGTTTGGGTTTAGGGTTTAGGGTTTAGGGGTCAAGCTGCGTCAGCTAGGAGACTGGCCGTATGGTCGTATGGTGTAGGGTTTAGGCTTTAGGGTTTGGGGTCAAGCCCGGATAAAAAAAAGTTTAAGGTTTAGGGTCAGCAGCAGAAAGAACACACTGCGATCAGCGTGGTCGACACCCGTGGATGCACTCGAAGATCATCCCAGGCCGAGCTGGCTATGTTTCAGAAGGGCCACCTCATGATGGATCATCCACTATTCTCCCTGATCAGATCTTGGATTGCAAGTTCATGCTGTTTTATGCTGGGCCCAGGGCCGCCTGCAGAATGTCACGTGTGAAGATACAGGAACACGCCGCGACCAGCGCGCCTAAACCCTGAGCCCGAAACCGCCTGGCTAGCCAAGGATCTGCCTTTCCCAAAGTATTTGCTGACATTTGCTGCCCCTTTGCTGAGTTTGGTGTCTGGTTCCGACTATAAGTGGTCACTTTGATCCTTGCTGGTTGCGGCCTCCTGGTGCACCTGAGTCAGCAATCAAGGTGCTTTGGAGAAGCAGCTGTTCTACGAAGGTGAATCTGCATCTTGGCATGAACGGCCAGCTGCAGCATGTGCCTTTGAGAAAGTTCCCAGACACACCAATGGCTACATGCAGTGGAGGTGTTTGTGGTCGGGCTGCTGGCAAAAGGCATGTACCTTTGTCATAGTTGAGTAACATTTTACATTTTAAGGGTACTTAAACCCAATAAGGAATAAAACTGCAAATTTTTGATATTATCCCAACAATGAACTAGGTACATCACCAGCCATGGAAGCTTCTGTGTTCGCGCAGCTTCCGGCTCGGAAGAGGACCGGCGTTGAGTGATGCTCGAGCTGTCCCGTGCGTGCAACTTGCCAAGTTGTCTACCGGGAGCGTCACGTTGTGTGTGTGTGTGTGTGTGCGCGCGTGCGTGCGTGCGTGTGTGTGTTTGTGGAATTTCGTTTCCGTTCTGTTGATGATTCCCCTTGTCACCAACTCTGCCAAAGAAGCTGGGTGTGGCGCGTTCAAAGGTCAGGGCCGCCTGGTCCTCGTGCCAGCGATTTCCGACACAGAACTCTGATCCTTTTACGAAAGAAGAACAGCAGGGAAGCATCACAATGCTTCCAGAACCCCCTTTGAGGTCTTGTCAGAGAGCGAGGGAGAGAGAGAGAGAGAGAGAGAGCCCCTCAAGGCAGCTCTCCCTTCGGAGGAGGCTAAGCGTGCAGAGAGAGAGAGCGAGAGCGAGCGAGCGAGGGAGGGAGGGAGGGAGGGAGGGGGTGTGTGTGCGAGCTCGTGCGCTCGCGCGAGCCCGCGTGCGTGCGTGCGTGCGTGCGTGCGTGCGTGCGTGCGTGTTTGTTTATTCATTGTAAACGCTTGCGCGCGCCGCCTCGGCAGCCGGGCCGGCCCCAGGACAGGAAAGGAGGAAAGAGGGTTTCGCAAAAAAAGGGAGGAAGGGCAGAGCAGGTGGGGGGTCGGGGGGGGTGAGGGGGGGGTGGGGGGGGGGGTGGGGGGGGGGGGGTGGGGGGGGGGGGTGGGGGGGGGGGGGGGGGTGGGGGCGGGGTGGGGGGGTGGGGGCGGGGTGGGGGGGTGGGGGGGGGTGGGGCAAGGCGGGGGGGGTTTTTGGGGCACTCTTTTTGTTGGAGCCACCGACAAGCGGGACCCTCCACGGCATCGGTTTGCAGCTCCTCCAAGGGATTGGGTTGGGTAAGGGGGAAGGAGGCCCGATCCGGGTCTGCTTGTTCCAGACGCTTCTCGGCAGGAAGCCGAGGCGAATTTATTCCTTCATTTGTTTATGATGATGGAGATGATAATTGTTTTGTTTGTTTTTATTTGGGGGGTGGGTGTGGGCTGCGTGTTCGTAGGCGTATTGCCGTCTGATGCTGGCAGGGCACCGAGCGGTTCACCGGAGACTACCACTTCTTTGCTGAGGCGCCGGGGGGGGAACCCAAACCCTAAACCCTAAACCCTAAACCCCAAACCCTAAACCCCAAACCCTAAACCCTAAACCCAGGGTTCAGCCTGCTCGGTGTTATGGCCTTCCCAGCCTCAAGAGGCCGCACTCTTCGCAGATGCCGTCGTTCACGACTGCACGTTGGACATCGAGACGTTTGCCGAGGTTTTCTTCGTATCTGGTCGAAGTATGGCTTCCATTCTGCAGCTCGGATGAGGGTTTTAGGGTTTAGGGTTTAGGGTTGCAAAAGGGTAGGGTTTTAAGGTTTAGGGTTTTAGGGTTCAGGGAGGCACTGTGGTGTGGGGGCGGGCTGGGCAGAAAGGGCAGCAGTCGAGTCCCTTGTGAAAAAGGGTTCAGGGTTCAGGGTTGTGCATCCCAGACATCCCCCACCCGCAGCGCGCAAGTTCCGAGCACGCCGCATTTTTTGTGTGCCATGCGTTCACGCGCGTCTGAGGATGAACTCCCCTGTTTGTGCTGCACTCTGCGTCGAGTATGCCAGAGCAGCTTGGCGTGCTGATTCACGGAATCATGTGGGGACGGGTCTTCAGTTCACCACACGAAGCCGCCTGCGCAGTTCCAAGGAGTTCGTGTCTGCCTATTCCGAAGGGATGCGAAGCGGAACTTCTGCCGCAAGTTGTGGTTGGAGGCGAGAGCTACGATGCGCACAAGTGGCTATGAAGACCAACTCCTTCTATGCCAAGCCCTCAGAGACCTTCCATGACACCAGTACAACTGGCAGAGCACGTGCTGCACGCGTCCATGCTACCAGAGAACTTGACTCCGAACAAGGCTCATGCCTGGTGTTGTACTCTGGTGTCCCTAAACCCTAAACCCTACACCCTAAACCCTAAACCCTAAACCCATCTAAACCCTAAACCCTAAACCCATCTAAACCCTAAACCCTAAACCCTAAACCCTAAACCCTAAACCCTAAACCCTAAACCCTAAACCCTAAACCCTAAACCCTAAACCCCACACCTACCCGGCCACTGAGGTCGAGCTTCATCTGGACGAGCGAAAGATGCTGAAGTTCGTCAACTTGCTCCCGCCGACCAATAGTGTCACCGCGAGCGTGTCTTCCCGGGTCTCATCGGCGGCTTTTCCGAAAATGATGGGTTTAGGGTTTAGGGTTTAGGGTTTGGTGTATAGACCCCCCAAATGGTAGGGTTCCGTTTCTGTATCATCAGGACCCCCATAAGGCACCCCCCCAAAAAATTCGGAAAACCAGGTCTCATCGGTGGCGACGGCAGAGGCTCCAAAGCCCATGACCATTAGCCAGTTCACGTCTTGGGCGACCGTGGAGCGCGCAGACCCAGAAGGCTTTGTGACCAAGCTTCGTGAGGTGCGGGCCCTAAACCCTAAGCCCTCACAGCCCTCACAGCCCTCACAGCCCTAACAGCCCTAACAGCCCTAACAGCCCCAAGCCCTAAGCCTCAAACCCTAAACCTTGGGGGGAGGGGGGCGGGGGAAGAAGCAGAAGGCATATCACAGCACACCAAGGAGCTCAAGCCTCGCTGTGTTGCAATGCCGCCCAGGTGTATGTCGAGCTGGACCCGGCGCATGGCCTTCATGCAATGTGCTGCAGCCGCAGCTAGCTGGGGTTAGGGTTTAGGGTTGAAATTTAGGGTTTAGGGTTTAGGGTTTAGGGCTCCAGAATGGTTGGGCCTCAGTCAGCAGTGCTGGGTCGTGGGTTGTCCTGGGCTACGGGGGATTTTGCGCGAGGCAGGCAGTGGCAAGGATTCCTGTTGCAAAAGGGTTTAGGGGTAACTAACCGTGCTTCACGGAGGGTTTTTGGGCTTTGGGTTTTGGGTTTTGGGTTTTGGGTTTTGGAAGAAGGGTTTAGTTCAAGGTTCAGAGTTAAGGGGTAATTAGGCGGCCGCCTGCCGGAGCAAACATCGGCATCCATGGCAACCCCGTGACTAATATGAAGCATGGAATATGTTGTAAGTAACCCTGGCCTTCTTCGACCTGGTTTTTCCTGGTTGTTGGTTGCGCCTTCGTTTTACCCACTTGCGACCGCATTTTACCCCGACGATGTTCGTGGTAACATGGACCGTTTCTCATGGCAACGGCTTAGTTTTTCCGATCAATACGAAAATGTCAACGACCAAATTTTACCTGTTAACATGTCTCGGTTGCAAAATGGCAATGGCCACGATTTACCCTGTTAATGTTTTCAGAAACAACAGCCCTACTGAAAGCCTTCGATTGGGTTGTATGCCCCACAGCCAAGCACCCCAACGAAACACGTACCCTTTGCAGGGCTCACTTGAGTTCAGGGTGTGGGTCAGCTCGGGTTCGAAGAGGCTGGGGGTGATATGGGCTGGTGTATGGCAGTGAACCACAAAAACCCTTTTTGGGGTGCGTGCGTTCAGGGTGTTGGCAAGGTTGAGGGCAGGCCATACCGGTAAGCCCACGAAGAACTCACAAAACCCACAGCCCACCAAACACCCTAAGCAAAAAGGTCCGAAGTCCACACCAAGCCCGTTGAAACCCAGAGCCCCACCAAACACCCAGAGCTAAGGCCTTCAGTCCACACTAGAGTCACTAGAAATGAACCCACATCCCCACCAAACACCCTGGGCCAAGGCCTTTAGGGTTTGCGGTTTAGGGTTTAGGGTTGCCTTTAGGCTGCACACCCTTAAACCAAAGACTTCAGGTTTTAAGGGTTTGTGCAATGGCCCAGAAAGGCACCCCCCAACAGCCCAAAAGACCGTGAGAAAACCGTGAGTAATCGTGAGTGGATTCGGTTTTTAAAGGAGCTCACCTCTTGAGCAGCCACAAAAATCCCATGAGAAAAGCGTGAGAAAGCGTGAGCAGCCCCCCCCTGTGTGCAGACCAAATTTGTCATGAAGTGCACTTTAAATGCCGACAAGTGTTGGCCTGCTCAAGCAGCAGGACTAGCATTTTGCTTGTCGCAAGGGGCGATGGCAAACGCCAAGGCCCGAAATCTAAAACCCAGGTTGGTACCCTCAACCCTCAACCCAAAACACAGAACCCCAAACCCACCAGGCCTCTGAGGCAAATCGTGGATGTTGGGCCGATTGGCCCAGGGTTCAGGGTATAGGGTTTAGGGCCTCCAAACCCAAAACCCAGGGTTTCAAGGTTAGGGGTTGTTACCCTGAATCCTGAACCCTTAACCCCCAGCCCAAAAACTTAACCCTAACTTGAACCCTACCCCCTAGGCCCCAAGCCCAAAACCCCCAGATTCAGGAGGGCTACCCTGAGCCCAAACTCGAAACCCTAAACCCTATAGGCCCGAGCCCAAAAGCCCAGGTTGGTACGCTCAACCCTAAGCCCTCAACCCTAAACCCTTGACCCTCGGACCTAAACCCAAAACACAAAACCCCAAACCAACCAGGGCAAATCGTCGCTGTTGGGCCGATTGGCCCGAAAAGCTCTCTGGAGTAAACCGTGGTTATTTCAAGCAACGCCCTTGAAAAACCCAGAAGGTTTTTTATAGTCTTTTTGGGATGGGGCAAATCTGTGAATCAGTTGGTATGCAAATCCCGTTTTTCGGTTGTTCGACGAGCGACCGGGGAAAACCTAGTCTTTATGGCAACGGCCTGGTTTTTCATGGCTTTAGGAAGTTCAGGGTAATATACAAAAAGCAAACAAACAAACACACAGCATGTTCTAATCTACACATGAAAATATTCCTCCCACTTAAATGGCGCTGTTGAACTGAGGTATTCTGAGCCGGTCGAGCGAGACAAGGCGGGCTCCCAAACATCATCAAGGGACTAAAGGAGGGACCCCTTATAAGGGACCTTAGGGTTTATTTGGGGTTATTCAGCGGCTACTTAGGTATAAAGGGATTATATAAGGTATATACAAAGGGGTTATACCCCATAAAGGAGGGTGTCATGACGCCAGCATGCAGCTTTGACTTCAACGCTGGGGGAGTACTAGCCTCGTGGCCAATGCCAATATAAAGATGGCTATCGAAATGCCACAGACTCCTGCGAAGAATGATCAATCATGCTGTAGAATGTATTCGTTGTGGAAGCGCAACGACGTGCCCAAGCACCGAGGCCGCTTGTCTCAAGGATCGCGGGCTTTAGCTCCTAAATGCGACTCAGGCGTCTGCCAAAATATCTCATCCCCAAAATGCCGCGGAAGCTACAGAAACTTCAGGGCCCACCGGGTGTAGGGGTTTCGAAAATTCTTGCTGAATCTTTCCGGCCATGACGTTATTAGCCCGGACGCAAAAAAGAGGGGGAAAAATGCAAGCCAACTTCGCATCCTCACGCTGTATAGACCCTAGCCGACTCTCTGAGGCAGCTTCAGATGCGTTCGAACTTGCCGTCTGCGTGTAGATGTGGGGATGTCCGAAACGAAGGGACCCCCAGTACGGACCCCGAAATAGTAAGATTCCCTGACAATAGCGACCCCAAGAAGGCACTCCCTATTTTCCCACCCTATTTTCCCTAAACCTTAAACTAAACCCTAAACCCTAAACCCTAAATCCTAAACCCCATAAGAAGGACGCCAATAAGGTATTTCGGAAACGCCTATGGGTGCAGGCCGAGTGTGGCTGCCTTTGCCTAGCAGCTTTGGCCTCCAACAGCTACGATTTGTTTGTCGCACCCCAGAGTGTTCCTTGACCAGCACGTTGACTTAGGGTTTAGGGTTTAGTGTCTAGGGTTTAGGGTTTGGGGTCGTGTCTTGAAATGCTTGCTTGGGTTCCCTTGTGTTTGCTTTGCCGTCTAGAGCGTCGGCCGTGCGTGTGGCGCCCTTAGGCGGAGTCTCGGCTGGAAGTATCCCAGTGGAACCAGCTGCGCGGCTTCCTGGACTGGGCGGCCCCAACGCAGGACCTCCTTCGGGGCAGCTGCTGTCGCTGAGCGCGGGGCGCGCTCCGCGCGCCGGTCGCGTAAAGCCTAAACAACCCTAAACCCTAAACCCTAAACTCGAAACCCTAAACCCTAAACCCTAAGCCGTCTTAGGGTTTAGGATCTCAGGGTCGTTTCAATGCATACTTACCCGGCAGACTTCAGAGGCCTGGATGCAAAAAGGGTCGTTTCAATGGCATGTAGGGGTTCCAAAAAGGGGGTCTGCACAACTCAAGAAGCAACAGCAGGGTTTAGGGTTTAGGGTTTAGGGTTTAGGGTTTAGGGTTTAGGGTTCAGGGTTCAGGGTTCAGGGGTCAAAAGCCTCCAGGGCGGCAAAACGTCGGAGTCATATGGCTTCTTCAGAGCCTTCTAGGCCTTCATGGTAAGCTCAGTGGCTGTAGCTTGTTTCGTGCGACAAGACATCCAGAAGTGACGGCGAGTTGGCATGTCGCGAGCCGACGCCTCCAATGGTGATGACAGTTCCGCATCTCGCCAACCCAAAATGCTAAAAAAGGAAAAAGATGGCCGTTTCGAGGGCGGCAAGCGCGGCCACACCCGCGCCTGGCCCTAAACCCTAAACCCCAAACCCTAAACCCTAAACCCTAGCCCTAAACCCTAAGCCCTAAACCCTAAACCTTGAACCCTAACCCGCGATAGTCGTCGAAACTGCGAGCAGGCCTCGAGAAAATCGCACGGTCGGCACACCCCGCCGATCCAACCCATGAACCCTGTTTACCCTGTTTAGGGTGTAGGGTTTAGGGTTTAGGGTTTCATGGGTTTCACGTCGATGCGCTGTTTGGAGAACCAGCCCTTAGTTACATGTATACTTCATTGGCAGTTTTCACCCCCCCTGCAGAAATTAAATTGTTGTAGGCCACCCCCCCCCCCCCCCCCAAAAAAAAAATGTATATGTGTATATATATATATGTATATATATATATATATGTATATATATGTATATATATATGTATATATGTATATATATATATCTATATCTATATCTATATCTATAAATAAAACAACAACACGGCTGTCAGGAGATGCTGCAGGCGGCCTTCTTCCTGCTGTCGGTGCGCAGCATCGGAAAATACAGGAGTGAAGCGGTGTAGGGAGCCAGAAAATAGCAAGGGTCCTGGGGTTTAGGGTTTAGGGTTTAGGGTTTAGGGTTTAGGGTTTAGGGCCAAGTGTAGTGTACCATAAAGGGCTTGTCAGTGGGGCTCATCTTGGTGGTTATATTCATGCCCCTATCTGGGTCAATCCCGACTCGGTGTCGCACAGACGAAGTCAGGCTTTGCTTCTTTCAACATAATCTCCACAACAGGTCCCTCAGACAGACCATCGCCGAAACTTACTTAGACGCGGCACTCGGATCGATTACCATGCTGTAGGTTCATCTCTATAGTTGGTTACCTTCCTGATTTTGCCGCGAGTAACCCTAAACCCTCAACCCTCAACCCTGAACCCTGAACCCTGAACCCTAAACCCCAAACCCTAGCTCAAGCTTCCGCATCTATGCTCTCACCTTGGCTGCGAGGACGGTGACCCGCCAGCTTCCCGAGGAGCATCAACGTCCAGAAGCTGCATTGCTGCTCGGCTCCTATAGCAAGGTTCAGGGTTCGGGTTTAGGGTTAGGGTCCAGGGTTTAGGGTTTTGGTGGTGGTGGTGATGGCTTCTGTTATGTGCTGAAGCAGTCCCCAGAGATTTTCGGCTCTTCGGGTTGTTCAATTGTTGTTCAGTTCAAGTGCCGCCAAGCTACTTGTAAGAGGAGGGTCGAATCTGGCGGGCAGGCAAGGGATCAAGTGAGGCTAGACCGTTTAGGGCTAAACCCTAAACCCTAAACCTTAACCCCGAAACCGCAAGCCGCAGGCTGTACATCCTTGACCACTTCCCCAATGTGGTTCCGTCGGTGCGAAGCCTCTTGCCTCGACATCGCCCCCAAGACGTAGGGTTTAGGGTTGAGGGTTGAGGGTCGAGGGTTGAGGGTTGAGGGTTTAGCTACTATTTGCTTTCAGAATTCCGAAAAATGAAAGATAGTCAGCCCTGTATTACCCTTCGTAAGGAAGAATCTCCATATTTTGTGGGGGGGTTTCTTTAGCAAGTAGCAATAAGAAACAGACCTTCAATCAACTTGTGGCAATCTTGTGGCAAAGCATCCAGGTTGAGGTGCTGTCAGCCATCTTCTACCTGGATACTTGCAGCACAACATGCATGCGCAACCCTAAGCCCTAAACCCTAAACCCTAAACCCTAAACCCTAAACCCTAAACCCTAAACCCTAAACCCTAAACCCTAAACCCTAAACCCAAGACTGTGTGAGGCTTGAAGGCTTTCAGGCTGAAGAGGGTGCAGGCCCACCATGATGCTGGTGGATGGGGATGTGCCCCCTTATAATAATCATCCTTCATAGGGACTATAGTACCCCCCAACTATCATCCTGTTAGGGAGTGTTAGTTGGCATGAGGGGGAGCATCTGGTGGACAAGTTAGCGTCAAAGGCATTGTGGAAGCCGGCCCGCGCTGTCGTGGCTCTGAGGTTTGAGTGAGACCGCGAAACGGATGGTGCGCCTCGGCTGACTCGGGGTTTAGGGTTTAGGGTTTAGGGGGTGAACCCGCAGTTCAGGATTCCGCAGCATGACTGCAAGCAGTCCTCAAATGATCGCAAGATGGCTCCAAGGACCAATGTCTTGCAGCTCCAACAGGATTTCATCCTGCCGCAGATGCTGCAGGGCGAGAACGTGCCCGCAAACCTTGCGCAGCTGCAACGCTTCGTCCAGGAAACCGGTGAGGAGACGCTGAAGTTTTACGTTGTCTTCTTACTGGGCTTCATGAGCCGCTCGGAAAGCACCCAAAGCATCCCATAGGCTTGTCCTCGGAGGGAGGGGGTGCAGCAAGAGAGATGTTTAGACGCGCAATGTCTCTATGAGCCCTAAACCCCCAAACTCTAAACCCCAACTTTCAAACCCTAAACCCCTTGTTTGGGCAGCCAGAGTTGTTTACTTGAGCTGCCTTGGGCAACACTGAGGTGCTCTGCAAGGTGGTAAGGGTTCGAGCTTCATGACTGCGGCCAACGCGAAGAGCATCATCCTCGGGCTTTCCGCAGCCACTTGACGGGTTTAGGGTTTAGGGTTTAGGGTTTAGGATTTAGGGTTTAGGGTTAGGGTTTAGGGTTTAGGGTTTAGGGTTTAGGGTTTAGGGTTTAGGGTTTAGGGCTTGGCATATGTAGATGTTTTGGAAATCCTCTGTTCCCAAGACCGGAATGCTGTGCTCAGGTTCAGCAGCTTCTCTTCAAGGATTCCCGACTTCTGTACTGGCGCTGCGCCCGCAAGAGATTTGTGCAAGGGCTATACGTGGCATACTTCGTACTTTAGCACATTATCATAGTATATATATATACAGATACATACATACATACATGCATATAGCATCGTGCATCCTATGGCAGGTGATCTTGCAAGGTAGCCCTGCGAATTCCTGAGTCCATGTTGCCGAGGATGTACATCTACCAGCGGGGCTTACAGCTTCACCAGCCGGCGGGCTGCTGGGATCCGCTTGGTTTAACCCTAAACCCCTAAACCCCTAAACCCCTAAACCCCTAAACCCCTAAACCCCTAAACCCCTAAACCCCTAAACCCCTAAACCCCTAAACCCCTAAACCCTAAACAACCTTAAACCCTAAACCCCATTCCAATTCTAGTCTGTTCTGTTCTATTCTGTATTTCATGTTTTTTTCTTCTGCACTAGTCTCTGTTCTAGATTCCATTCTTTTTTCTATTCCGTGTTGTCAATTCTTTAGTCTTTATTCTCTGTATCATCGCTTCCTTTCTATTCTATTCGAACAAATTGAGGCATTGTAAATCATACTGTTCGCGTATGCATAAGAAAATAGTCTATTGTTTCATGTCGCACCGCCCTCAGAGGTAGGATGGTGTTGAGAAGAAACTAGTAGATATGGGTGCAAAAATTATAGTAATAGTATACTTCCCCAAGCTGCTCTAGCTGAAGGCTCTTACTTCTCCACGCAGCTTTAGCTGGGACTGGCTGGGGTTCTGAGTTGGTGCACAGAAAGTGCATTGACGCACATTTAATGCCTAGTCTACAAAAAAGTCTCCCAGTTGTCTTGATCCCAGTTGCTTCCTTTGGAAAGTGAGCAGACACTGCTATTTCGACCCCGGATGCTCTGAGGCCCTTCTGGGATTGCTGCCTCCCCTTTCCATTTGTCTCTCGCCGTTTCTCTCGACACTGGGCCCCTGTCTGGGGTTGCCAGATTCTGGATGCTGTGACACGCTTCTGGCACTGTAATCTTCCGTCTGTCTCCTGTCGTGACGTGGGCAGACGTTGGATGCTTGTGACGGGTCTGGGGCTGTTTGATGCTTTGGGCACATGCCACGACTGCGAGATTCACCTGGTAAAAAGTCGCCTTCGCAGTATCCGAAGGATGAGAAGCAGTGGTCTTCAGTTGCCTTTTTGGAGCCGAGGCTGGGGAACTCTGCATATAAGCTGCCTTGCCAAGGCTCTGCCGAAGATTTGGCCGTTCTACGCCTTGCCTGCCTTTGCCGAGTCCGAGACAGACGTGACTTTGAAGAGCTGTCGAGAGACTGGGCTGAGCCCCTTGGTGGAGCGCCGGTTTAGGTTTAAGGGTTAAGGGTTAAGGGTTAAGGGTTTAGGGTTTAGGGTTTAGGGTTTAGGGTTTAGGGTTTAGGGTCGGGTTAAGGGCTCAGAAGCTTGTCGGGCTCAACAGGGTTCAGTGCTTAAGCAACAGGGCAATAGCAGCGGCAGCATCTCAAGATGAAAGCCGTAGCCTTCGCTTTCCAGTGGCGCGCATGGAAGTTCTTCGCATGCAAGCGCCGAGTTCATGCCGAGGCTCGGCGCTCCTGATCAAGAGGTCCTGACACAACACTTTCTGGCAAGTGGAATCCAGAACTCCGCCATCGTTTTCGAGTGCCTTGGTTGCTCTGAATTCACAGCTCTCACGGATCTGAGTCTCTACACCAATAGGAATCGACCAGCGTCCTCCAGGTTTCTTCCGCTTTGCTTGGAGCGCGCCAAGAGAAACCCGCACGTATCCGAGCTTTGGCTGCACCTCGTGATATGAAGTCGGGCTGCTATTTCTGTTCTTGGTGAGTGTATATAAGGTTCCTTTTCAATATTGGTGAGTGTAGCAACCGGGTGTCCTTTAGGGGTACAAGCCAGATATACCCTACTTCATATCTTCGGGAGACTCCCTGTGTAGTCGCAGCTGGCAGATGTTGGCCTGATTGCCGCTGAACCCGAGGTGCCATGCCTACTAGAGATTCTGGTTGTTTTGGTCAAGTCTGTCTTCACGATGCGCGCAAGCGAGCAAGCAGGACCGCCATATCAACGGGGGGCCGGTTCGAACCGCAGAACATCCGATCTTGTGGGCTACAGGGCGGAAGTCGGTGTACCCCTTAAAAAAGGGCCTTTATGGGCCTGCTTGCGGGTGTGATAGGGCCGAACTAGTAGCCCCCTGGTGCTCTCTATGTATTGCGTCTGCGTTGAGTCTGAATGAGGCAACTGCCCCGTGATGTCGATGCTTGACTTCCTGCATGTGCCCATTTGGATGTCAAGTCTGTCCAAGCCGGTTAGAGCGCGGCAACCGAAATCTCTGTGTCGGTTGTCTCCTAAACCCTAAACCCATGTGAAAAATGCACCCTGGTTCCTAGTAGGGAATGAGGGAATAAGGGCCCTAAATCAATAAGTAAATAAATATAAGTATACATAATTGTATATATATATATATTCATACCCTCAAAGGGATCCTCATTCCCTCATTCCCCACTAAGAACCAGCCAGATGTTTTTATAGGAGAGATCGGAGAGATTCCCTAAACCCTAAACCCTAAACCCTAAACCCTCAACCCTCAACCCTAAACCCTAAACCCTAAACCAGCCAGCTGTTTAATAGGAGAGATTGGAGAGATCATCACGGTCGACCTGTCGAACCTGGCAGCCTTCATCCTCATGGTGTGGCTTGGGGCGGAAGATTGGGTTTGGGGTTTGGGGTTTAGGGTTTAGGGTTTAGGGTTTAGGGTTTAGGGTTCAGGGTTTAGGGCTTTAGGGTTTAGGGTCTAGGGTTTGGGGTTTCCGGCAAAAAGGGTTGAGAAGGTTTGAAGGGATGCGTTTCACTTCAAGGCATGTGCCACAGGTTTAGGGTGAGATTGTCCGAGGCACAGTATTCAGAAAGGGTTTGGTTTAGGGTGTAGGGATGAGGGTTCCGGGTTTAGGGATACTAGTGCCTGGCGCGGCCCTCAGTCCTGGCATGAAGCAGCGTCCAGGTTTAAGGATCTGCTACGATTTGCTTAAGAACACCCAAAAATAAAGATAATCTTTCTTATTGATAGGCATACTATATTGGGGGGGTGCTTAAGAGAATAGTGGTTGTGTATTGTAATTGTAGGTATTTTATGGAAACATGCAACCCTCAGGCAAAACCGATTCGTCTTCCAGACGTGCCTCTCACGGTCAAAGCTGATCGTGACACAGAACACGGCGCAGAAGAACGGCCAGGGTGTTCGAGAGACTTGTCTGGATTGTTACCATTTGCTTACCATTCAATAAACCCTAAACCCTAAACCCCAAACCCCAAACCCCAAACCCCAAACCCTAAACCCCAAACCCTAAACCCTAAACCCTAAACCGATACCTGTCTGCCACCCTGGTGGCTTGCAAGGATGCTTGGTTCCGACTGGACCTGACCGAGGCTCGCCAAGGGTTCTGCCAACTCGAATGACGAGTCGGAAATAATTACCAATAGTATTCCCTTAGGGCCCCTTTATAGTCATACTATAAAACCCCCTCAAAACCCTATTCTAAATATTCAGGCCCCTATACAGTAGTCGAAGGGTGTCACTGCTTCGTTCTGGATCCTTGTCAATATTCGCACAGGACAACTGGAACCGGGTGAACGAGAGGCAGCACGATGTGGCTTTGCTTGCCAGCACGGTGCCCCTCCAGCAGAGTATTTTTCAAAGGCTGGGGCGGCAGTTTGTGCTGCTACGAGTTGAGAAAGACCCCTGGTTGTTAGTAGGGAATTAGGGCCCTTTTCATGCCCTCTTTATACCCTTGAAGGGGTTATAGAGGGTACCTCATTCCCTCATTCCCTACTAAGAACCAGCCAGAAGACATGAGCGCTACAGCAAGACGAGCACTGAGAAGTGTGACAAGAGCATCTATGCCGTGTCTCCTGAGTCACACCTTACAGCGGTTTGGAGCCTGCCAGGCTTTGTAGGCGTGCTCCAACTACGTTAGGTCGGTAGGTCACTGTGACTTTGCCAGGGGGAACTCACGGAAAGAAGTGCTAAGGTGCGGGATATTCTGCATCGGCAGAGCAGCACGAAGCGGACGGTTTTCGATACCGTGAGCGTCTAGGCCACCTCTTGCAACTTGGCAGCCCAGTGGTACCCTTTTCCCTTGTTTTGGGTTCCCTTAACAAGGTATCCAACCCCCCCAAAAAAGGGTGCCCTTACCCTCATATGGTGAAGTTTCGGGGCTACCACGACATTGAAGACCGGCTCAAACCCCAACCCTATAAGCCTTGAGTAGAACCCCCCTAAAGCTTTATCCTAAGTATAGCCCTAAACCTCTAAAAACCCTAAACCCCTAAACCCCTAAACCCCAGAAGGGCACCCTTATCATAGTATGGTTACTGGGCGACCAAGGCAAAGGAGCCACTTGAAGGGGATCTGCGTCGTAGGATCCTCGTAGCTTTGCCACCTGGCTGCCCAAAGCTGCAGCCGGGCCCTGGCCTGTGGCCAGAGGCCCATGTTTCAGGATCTGGGTTTAGGGTTTAGGGTTTAGGGTTTAGGGTTTAGGGTTTAGGGTTTAGGGTTTAGGGTTCAGGGTTTAGGGTTTAGGGTTTAGGGTTTAGGGTTTTAGGGTTTAGGGTTTAGGGTTTAGGGTTGAATGTTGCTCTCCATTGCATGGCTGAAAGGCTGTGCATAACTTCGCGAAAAACTTGCGAGGCTTGGACTGCCCATGGTTCAGCGCCAATGCTCGACCCTTGGAAAAGCTCTGCGCGCGCGCGTGTGAGTGTGTGTGTGTGTCCATACTATGTGCGTATATATATATATATAGACATATAATTATGTATATATATATATATATATAAAACAAATGTATACACTTTCTATACCTATATGTAAATATATTGATATACAAACTCGCTCTCTCTCTCTCTCTCACTCTTTCTCGCTCTGTTTCTATGTACAAGGGATACAATGCGCTTAAATTATGCATACATACATGCATACATGCATACATACATACATACATACCTGTACATACATAATCGTGTATACATATATATATATACATATACATGTATGTATATATATATATATGCTATATACGTGCATGTGGTACCCCCCCCCCCCCCCCCCCCGACGTTGCTCGTAAATAGTGTTTTTTTCTGCAGTTCCTCAGTAAGTATTCCACAGGCCTGGTTTTTTTTGGATTTGTGGGGGACTTTTGACAATTTTGGAACCTTATAAGGAGTTTTTGGAATGCTTGGAATATTTGGAATTTGGGGCAGTGCCGAGTTGTGGAGTTTCTTGATTGTTTTAGTTTCTTTTTGGGAATTTTGGACATGCTTCTGAATGTCCTGGGAGTTTTTCTAAGTTTTTTTTAAAAACTGGAGGGGGCGAAGCGGAAGCATGAACATAAGCAAAGCTCATGGAGGTTTCGTGACTTTATCTAGGATGGGGCTTTGCTGCCACAAAACTGGGAAGAAGTGAAGTCGATGGTCTGTTTGCAGCAGAAAAGGACGACAAGATAGTAGAGGCTCGTCCACTCACGGTTATGACATAATTTTTTTACGGGGGCTCTCTTCTTCAAGACAAGAAGGAAGTAAACCGTGGATTCTCTGTGTTGTTGCGCGTATCCTGAAAACATCATGGTGCGTCTTTTCTAGGTTTTTGCAACAGAAGTATGAGAGTCTCTCGAATAAAGGTTATTCTCGAAAAACGAGTATTTTCTCTTGAGCTTGCTTCTTTTAAATAACTGGAGGAGGTGAAGAGAAGAAAAGCGAAGTTTCGTGAACAGAAAGAAGAAAGTTTAAGTGTTAGGTATAACACGCACCAGACGCTGTCGTACTTCGTGCTAGTTTTACACGGAGCTGTCCTGTGATTTAGCACACATAACACAACCTTTCGGATTTCTTATCTAAAGTATTTTCCGTAAAGAATTAAGACAGGTACAACAACGGCCACGTGATTAAAACATCGTCTTTCGTGAAATGGCCCTTAAATGTCTCTCGAGAAGGGGCGTGGGGGCCACAAAGGATGGATGTGAAAATGAGGGTCTTCTTTAGCATCAAGGCTAATTATTGAGGGGCATGAAGGAACTACGCAAAGCCGAAACCAAAATGTGGGCGCGAAGCTACCGTGCTCTTCGGGTTGGTTCCGGGGGGGGGGGGGGGGCAACCCTGTGCATTAAGACCCTGTGTGTCAAATGTCATATATATTTATTTATTATCATACATGTAATATTGTAGATCCTACATACAGACATGCAGGTATAGTATACATACATATATATACACATATTCAATGGTTGACAACACAATGCATGTTCCATCACCTCTGCCATGTGATGAGATGCAGTGGACATCTCATTCAGGATAGGGAGGCACCAACCATGCAGCTAAATTTGTCTCATGTTGTTTCCAAGACCTCGCAGGTATCCAGACAACCTTCGCAACTGGACGCTGGAATCTTCTGGCCCGGCCTGTGCAATCCAGCTTGACGTAAGCAGAGGGGCCATGCAAACATGTTCTGCTGATGTGGCAGGGTACCGGCGACAGTTGGTGTCGAGCCGAGCTTCTGTGGAGGTGTACCATACGCATGCAGTACTTGACGTAGAGCTTGGCAGCTTTAAGCTTCGTTTTCGCGTTCGACTTCGCCTGTGGCATCATCACACACACCAACCACACATCCACACACACACACACACAAGAGACAAAACACCAACACCCATGCACACACACACACAAGACAAAACACCAACCCACACCCACACCCACACCCACACCCACACCCACACCCACACCCACACAC